TTTTCGCTGACGAAGTAGCGGCACTTGCTAGCTATCTATAAAAAATTAATAGAACACGGATCGGTCAATCGATCCTATTATTATCTTTCAAATATCCCTCTGAACTTTTGCATCCTCTTCAAAAATTTCAAGTATTTTCATATAAAAAACAAATTGATGTTTATAATTTCTTTTAGATTTACTTAATACTAATCCTAATCTAATAACATTTATTTCGACAATTTTGCACTAAGCACGCCACTTATGGAACCACTTCAGCACAACCGTAGCCATTTGAAAAATAAACTACAACAACGACAAACTAATTTGTTTTCATATTTAAAAATATTTGTTGACAATTATTTATGCAATTTATTTTTATTTTGTTGTTGGCGATCACTTTCTTTCAATATTTCTCCTCTCGATGTGTGTCATTTCCGTTTTCCCGCAACATTAAACATTTGCCAAAATGTCATTAACATTGAAAAGCCCGCGCACACACACACTCACACACAAAAAGCATTAGCAATGATGCATTGTAATATTGAAATATTTTGTCTCTTTCCCAATTTTTAAAAATTTTCATTCATTTAATAATTAGCCTTCTCTTTGCAGACTATGTTCCATCGGGTACATTGTAAATGAGTGGGCTTGTTTGGTGAATTATTTTCGTGGCATCTGAATATTTAGTCGTATGTACTTACATACATATATAGAAATGCATGTCTCAGTCTGATTCAATTAACATAGTTGATCTAAATGCTTTAATAGATCAATACAAATATTTAATATTTTTTTTTTTTTTTTGGGAAATATATGTTTTTCAAAGTGGATCGCGAGTTGGCATCACATAATTGAGTCATTCGGTTTTTATTTGCTCAAAAAAAATACCAGTAAAATCGCAGATAAGTTCAATCGAACTGAAATTGGTGGTATATTCCTTTCGGCATCACAAAGCCAATGAGATTTCAATTTATCTAAAAATGTGTCAAAGAAATTTTAAAATTATGACCTGGAAACCAAAATCATATATTTCTGATTTGGGTAGGTTTACCGGTTATGTATCTTCCCAGACTGCAAATTTTATCGGGTGACCCTTGATTTTGTTGTGAATATTTTTTTTTTACTTTCGCATGCAACAAGGCAGAAGTTCAGCAAAACAAATATGGCCTCATATGTATATATATATGGCGATTCCATTAGACGCTAAAATCACACAAATCTTTTGGCTTATTGGAGAAACTGCAAAAATTAGATTTAAGACATCTCTGACTTGACAACCAGGCTGAGAGAGGGGTTTTGTCTTTCAGACGATCGCTTCTTTATTAAATACTAACAACCTTTAAATTGATATCGACCTACATATTTTCTGGTGCTATGTGGGGGTCAAATAACCAACTTTCTTTCACTTTTTTCGCATCACCAGCACCTAGGATGTGTTCTTGATGTTACGCTGAGCAAAATCAGGCCCGAGCTATACAAAGATTAAATTATAGTCCTCAAATTTATTTAAATTTTTTATATTGGACCAATTGAAGATTTTTACTGAATGATGTCCCAGTAGCTAAGAATGTTTCTCTTGGTTCAATTGTGACATCATTAACAATATTTTCATACAAGAATTTTACTCATTTGTAAAACCACCACTGATCTCAACACCAGATATCGACAAATACCAAATTTAGTATTATTTAGTAAATTTCATACAATTATTGTACATATTTGCAAAACCACCTCCATATCTCAATCCCAGATACCAACAGAGACCTTAATGTCAAATTTTAGGAATCCACATCTATTCCTTCACCCAATACCAAATTTAATAGCATTTAGTACTTTTCGTGCCAATGTAGAACACTTTTCAAAACAACTACCAAATCTCAAACACAGATACCATTAGTAATCGAAATATAAAATTTGAAGATTCCTCCACCCAATACCAAATTTAGTACCATTTAGCACTTTTCGAAAAAATATTGATCCATTTTCAAAACAACCACCAAATCTCAAACACAGATACCATCTGTAATCAAAATATCAAATTACAGGATATCAGTTCTATTCCTTCACCCAATACCAAATTTAGTAACATTTAGTAATTTTCGTACAATTATAGTATACAATTCGAAAACCACTTTCAATTCCAGATACCAACAGAGACCTTAATATAAAATTTCAAGATCCCAGCCATATCCCTTCAACCAATACCAAATTTAGTAACATTTAGTAGTTTTTTTTACAATTATAGTACACATTTGCAGAGCCACCTCCAACAGAGCCCTCAATATCAAATTTGAGCATTTCAGACCTATCCCTTCACCCAACAATTATAATTAAGTACCATTAAGCACTTTTCGTACAAAAATTGGACGGACCTCCAAAACCACCTACACATCTTAACCACAGACTTGGTGTCAATGACGTTTTTATTTAAAATTCAGGATTTTAGCTCTATTCCTTCGCCCAATATCACATTTAGTTCTATTTACTCCATTTACTTGTTTCGCAAGTTATGCTAGATAAAAGCATTGGAAATGTTTACCCTTTGTGGGTGAGGTACCAGAAGGGGTTCGCAGATATATATCATCTTCACAACACATCTAGTGTAAGCAAATATGTTTATGTGTGTGACATTTGAAGAGAGTTAGATGCTTATTTCGCTTTCTTTGACTGTTTTGTTTTTCAAAATTTTGAATCCTATGTGGGGGAGGTCTGTCTGAATGAAATTGGATGTCAATTCTGCATTTTATGAATTTCAAGCATATTCAAAATTTTAACCCTTTCTGAAGGAGGTACCAGAATAAGTGGACCGATATATCCCATCTTTACAGCAGATCTTGTGTAGCAATAGAAGTAATGAGATGTATGAAATATGAAGAGAACTGGATACTTATTTTTGATGTTATAACCGTTTTGGTTATTCAAAATTTTGATCCTTTGTGGGGAAGGTACCAGAATAAATGATCCAACTTTTTAAAAAATCTTATGTTGACGGGAATATTGGAATGTACCAAGTCTGAATGGTATCGGATGTTAATTTCGCGTTTATGAGCTTCATGGATATTCAAAATGTTGTCCCTTTGTGGGACAGGTATGAGAAGGAGTAGACCGATTTATCCCATCTTCACATCACATCTTGTGTTAGTAGAAATAATACGATGGGTGAAATATGAAAAGAATCGGGTGCTTATTTCCGATTTTATGATCGTTTTGGTTATTCAATTGTGGGGGGGAAGTGTTAGAAGAAATTATCCGATCTCTACCAACTTTATAAAATATTTTGGTTGGCGGGAATATTGAGATGTACCAGTTCTGAATGGAATCGGATGCTAATTTCGCGTTTTATAAGGTTTTTCGATATTCACAATTTTGATCCTTTGTGGGGAAGGTACCTGAAGGAGCGGACCGATGTGTCTCATATTTGCAACAAACATTGGGTTAATCAAAATGTGTACATCACATTTTTGAAAAGTAATACTTATTCAAAATGTTGTCACTTTGTGGGGGAGATACTGGAGGTAATGGACCTATATTGTCCATTTTCGCACTTGACCTACCACTGATTCAAATGTTAGGGTTTGCAAAGTTGGAGCAAAATCGGATTATCCTTTCTCTTTTTGTGCAGTAAAATATTTTTTTTTTTTTGAAAATTTCGATCTTTTGTTGGGAGGTACCAGAAGAAGTGGACAGATGTTACCCATCTCAAATACTGTGATGTGTGTAGTTGGACTCTTACATCACATTTTAGAAGAGTTATACTTATTCAAAATGTCGACACTTTGTGGGGGGAGGTACTGGAGGTAATGGACCGGATTGTCCATTTTCGCACCTGACCTGATGCAAATATTAGGATTTTCAAAGTTGGAGCAAAATTCGATTATCCTTTCTCTTTCTGTGCAGTAAAATATTTTTTTTTTTTTTTTGAAAATTTCGATCTGTTGTGTGGAGTTACCAGAAGAAGTAGACAGATGTTGCCCATCTCCAAACTTGATCTAAGTTTGATAATAATTTTACGATGTATCAAGCTTGGACTAAATCAAATACTCTCTTTGAGAGTTGTCGTGCGCACCCGCCAGCCAGACAAACGGACGACGGACATCGCTAGATCGACTCCAAATGTCCTGAAACGAATTCTTGTCCAAAGAAGCCTAGGGTCTAAAACCGGGAACAACCAATAAATATACTAGAAATAGGTCAATCACCGATCGTGATATAAGCCATAAAGTGTTTACAAATAACCAAGGCAAACAGTAAAAGAGTCGTTGGGCCACTTCACCAGGTTCATAAACAAAACTTTCCTATAACACGAATAATAAAGACTTTTTTTTATTAATTTTTACGAGTATTCGCAAGACAAATAGTAAATATTTACATTCGTTTTCAAATATTTATTTAAAAAAAAAAAAGAAAAACGATAAAAAAAAACTTCCCACTCCCACAAAGACGTGGTTTAAAAGCTTTCAAAGCCATGTCATTGAAAAAAAAATAGTGGAACAAGTATTTCAGATTATATTGGAGCTACCTCAGACTTTCCAACCATTCAAATAATATAGAACATTTGATTGTTCTTTGATTTGATAAAGGGCAAGAAAACAATCCATTAAGTGCGTACACTCTATAATTGATCCCTAAATATACATGATATAAAAAAAAAAAAACTCCCCATTAACTTCATTCATTAAGGGAAAGTGATACAACAAATTGGTCACGGTGATTGATGAGTATCGATGATATATAGGAATTTTCAAATTGGAAACCACTCAGACAGGTGGTTTAGAGAGACTACGTCAACGCGGCGGTCGGCGGTGGCGACAAAGTACTCGAAACACAATTATGTCGTCATGTTGCACTTAATCAGCAAGTTATCGCTTTTGGTGTCACAAACACACGCTCCAACGCCCCAAAGAATTCATGCCTCGCGATTAGCTACTAATTTTATTTGTTAATTTTATTTAATAATTTTATTGATAATACCCGAAAGTGTCATGCTAATGGTTTTGATTTTATTATTTTGATTTCAGATTTAATCCATAACTTGACGCCATGAAGTTCGCCGAACATTTGACGGCCCACATAACGCCGGAATGGCGCAAACAATATATTAACTATGAGGTAGGTTTTGAGAGTAATAACTTCATGAAAAACTCTTCTAATTGTTCGTTTATTATTTTTTTTTTGCAGGAAATGAAGGCCATGTTATACATGGCCGTCGAGGAGGCACCCTCCGTCGATAGCGTCGAGGATGAAGTACTTAAACGCCACTTTGCCAATTTCGATGAGAATTTCTTCCACTATTGTGATAAAGAACTGAAAAAAATCAACACTTTCTATTCGGAAAAATTGGCCGAGGCCACACGTAAATTTGCCACCCTCAAAGCTGAACTTAAAACCTGCATCGAAGAGTCTGAACGTTCGGCCAAAAAGTCGAAATCATTAAAAAAGACTGCCGGTCTACCGCATCGCAAAGCCCAAGAACTGAAATTAGCCTTCAGTGAATATTATTTGAGTTTAATCCTGTTACAGAATTATCAGAATTTAAATCACACCGGTTTCCGTAAAATTCTCAAGAAACATGATAAGCTATTGCGTGTGGACAGCGGTGCCAAATGGCGTCAGGATCACGTGGAGGCATCACATTTTTTCACCAACAAAGATATTGACAATATCATCAATGAAACGGAATCGATGGTCACCAATGAATTGGAGGGTGGTGATCGTCAAAGGGCCATGAAACGTTTGCGAGTGCCACCGCTGGGAGAGCAACAAAGTCCATGGACGACGTTTAAAGTGGGCCTGTTTTCGGGTTCGTTTATTGTGCTGGGCATTGTCGTGGTGTTGTCGGGTAAGTTGAGGATCGAAAACAAAAAGTAAAGAATAAGAAAAATATGGGAAAATTAGGAATTTTAAAATAGGTCCCCAAAGTCGTCTCGGACGTCCATAGAGACTACTTTCAGGTCGTCTATAGAGACCACTTTCAGGTCGTCTATAGAGACGGCTTTTAGGTCGTCCATAGAGACGACTTTCAGGTCGTCCATAGAGACGACTTTCAAGTCTTCCCTGGAGTCGATAGAGACGACTTTAAAGACAAATTTTGGGACGTTTATAGGATACTTTTTAAGTCGTATAGAAGACTGCATTCAGGTCGTCTATAGAGACGACTGTCCGGTCGACTATAAGGACGTCTTTCCGGTCGTCTATAAAAAAGACTTCAAGACGTCTATAGAGACGACTTTCTGGTCGTAAATAGTGAGGTCTACAGAGACAACTTTCAGGCCGTCTATGAGAATGGCTTTTATTACTGAAAGGTCGTCCAAAGAGACGACATTCAAGTGGTCTTTAAGAATGGCTTTCAGTTCACCTGTAAAGTATATAAAGATGACTTTCGGGACGACTATAGAGAGGAATTTCAGGTCGTTGATAGAGACGATTTCCAGGTCATCTAAAGATACGATTTCTATAGAAATTACTTTCAGGTCGTCTATAGAGACGATTTTCATGACGTCTATAGGGACGACTTTCAGGTCGTCAATTGAGGCTACTTTCTGGTCGTCCATTGAGACGACTTTTAGGTCTCTGTAGGACGACTTTCCGTAGATGACTTTCAGATCGTCTATAGAGACGAATTTCAGGTCGTCTATAGAGACGACATTCAGGTCGTATATAGAGACGTCTTTCAGGTCGACTATAGAGGCGACTTTCCGGCCGTCTAAAGGGACGGGTTTCAGGTCATGTAAAGAGACGACTTTCAGGTCGTCTTTAGAGACTACTTTCAGGTCGTCTGTAGAGGCGACTTTCAGGTCGCCTGTAGAGGCGACTTTCAGGTCGTCTTTAGAGGCGACTTTCAGGTCGTCTGTAGAGGCGACTTTCAGGTCGTCTTTAGAGACTACTTTCAGGTCGTCTGTAGAGACGACTTTCAGATTGACTATAAAGAGTACTTTCAGATCGACTATAGGACTACATGTCTCACGAAATTAACGGAATTTAAATGTCTGTTCCATTATATTTAACATCAATACAAAATGAGATATAAAGACCTGCTATTCATTTTCATTTTTAGAAATGACGAGTCGACAAAATTTTTGCAGGAAACATATTTTTAATGCGTTTTTAATATTGCCATAAATCACTTCGAAGCCTTTTCCATAAATAATGAAGAGCGACATTAAAGTACTTATTTCGAGATAAAGGCGTACGTGATTTATCTTCAAGAAGCCATAAGTAGGGGACCATAAATCATTTGTCATTTGCAGTTATTGCGAATTTTAATTTAATTTGTTTTTGTCCATTATTTGTCAGAATTAATAAAACGCAAACCTTATCGCACAGACTGAAACTGACCAAGTCAATACTTTGGAAGTGAGAAGGATTTTCTAAAATTAAAAATATATTTATTTTTTCCCACTAATAAATCAATGTTTTTAAAATTTTAAAATAAAAACATTGGAATAAATTAAACATTCCTAAAAACAATGGGTAATAACTAATAACCGTTATTTTATTTTCCAGCAATTTTCCACGACATCAGTGGTGAAAATCTAAAAGTCACTTTCCGTCTGTATCGTGGCCCGCTACTCATCATCGAATTCATATTTTTGATTGGTGTCAACATTTATGGCTGGCGTTCATCAGGTGTAAATCATGTACTCATCTTCGAATTGGATCCTCGAAATCATTTATCCGAACAACACTTAATGGAATTGGCGGCAATATTCGGTGTGATATGGACCCTCAGTATGTTAAGTTATTTATATTCGGCCAGTTTGAGTATACCGGCCTTTATAAATCCCCTAACGCTGACCATTATAATGGTGGCATTTTTAATAAATCCCTTCCATGTATTTCATCACGATGCGCGATTTTGGCTGCTCAGAATATCGGTAAGAAACTCATTTTATATATTTTATACATTTAATTAAAATTATTTTTTATTTCCAGGGTCGCATGATTGCAGCACCCTTCTTCCATGTGGGCTTTGCCGATTTCTGGCTGGCTGATCAGCTGAATTCATTGGCCACAGCATTATTGGATTTCGAGTATCTAGTGTGTTTCTATTTTACCAATGGCAATTGGTTTGAGGCCAGAGATGCTTCGATTTGCATGGAAAAAGATTTCATTATAAGACCCATATTCAATTGCCTGCCAGCGTGGTTCCGTTTTGCCCAGTGTTTGAGGCGTTATCGTGACACCCGAGAAGCCTTTCCGCATTTAGTCAATGCTGGCAAATATTCCACAACATTTATGGTTGTGATATTTGCTACGCTAAAGAGTTTCAATAGTCGTAAGTATTGGTGCTTCTTATTCGGGTGATTTCTTTAGAAAATTAATATATATTTTCCATTTTGTCTTAGGTTACTATTCCACCACCTTTGAAAATCCCTACACTTGGCTATGGATAGCAGCTTCGGTGATATCAACAATCTATGCCTACACATGGGACATAAAAATGGATTGGGGCTTATTCGATAAAAATGCTGGAGAAAACACATTCCTTCGGGAAGAAGTTGTCTATTCATCGACGGTAAGTTAGGCCTTCTTAATAGAGTTCAAAATATGTTGTCATAGAAAAGAAAAGAATGAGAGAAAAATACAATTTTAGACATTCTCATAGACCTGAAAGTCGTCCCTATAGACGACCTGAAAATCGTCTCTATAGACGACCTAAAAGTCGTCTCTATAAACGACCTGAAATTCATCTCTATAGAAGACTTGAAAGTCGTCTCTATAGACGACCTGAAAATCGTCTCTATAAGCTACCTGAAAGTCGTCTCTATTGACGACCTGCATGTCGTCTCTATCGACGACCTGAAAGTCGTCTATATAGACGACCTGAAAGTCGTCTCCAAGGACGACCTAAAAATCCAAAAAACTCGTCTCTATAGACGACCTGAAACTCGTATCTATAGACGACCTGAAACTTGTCTCTATAGACGACTTGAATGTATTTTCTATCGACGACCTGAAAGTCGTCTCCATAGACGACCTGAAAGTCGTCTTCATAGACGACCTGAAAGTCGTCTTCATAGACGACCTGAAAGTCGTCTTCATAGACGACCTGAAAGTCGTCTTCATAGACGAGCTGAAAGCCGTCTCTATAGACGACCTGAGAGGTATCTCCATAGACGACCTGAAAGTCGTCTCTATAGACGACCTAAAAGTCGTCTCTATAGACGACCTAAAAGACGTCTCTACAGAGAGTCGTCTCTAAAAGATCAGAAGGTCTTCTCACCGGTGTGTATTCTTATAAAAGACCAGAAGTAGGTCTTTTGAAAGAAGACCAGAAGTAGGCATTTTTATAGAAGACCAGAAGGTCTTCTCATAGAAGATCAGAAGAAGGTCTTCTCATAGAACACCAGCAGAACGTCTTCTCATCGAGGACCAGAAGAAGGTTTTCTCATAGAGGACTAGAAGGTATCTCTCTGTCTTCTTATAAAAGACCGGAAGTAGGTCTTTTGAAAGAAGACAGAAGAAGGCATTTTTATAGACGACCAGAAGATCTTCTCATAGAAGACCAAAAGAAGGTCTTCTCATAGAAGACCAAAAGAAGGTCTTCTAATGGAAGACCAAAAGTCTTCTCATAGAAGTCCAAAAGGTCTTCTCATAGAAGTCCAAAAGGTCTTCTCATAGAAGGCAAGAAGGATTTCTCATTGAAAACAAGAGGGTCTTCTCCATAGAAGACCAGAAGGTCTTCTCCATAGAAGACCAGAAGGTCTTTTCCATAGAAGACCAGAAGGTCTTCTCCATAGAAGACCAGAAGGTCTTCTCCATAGAAGACCAGAAGGTCTTCTCATAGAAGACCAGAAGGTCTTCTCATAGAAGACCAGAAGGTCTTCTCATAGAAGAGCAAAGTCTTCCCATAGAAGAGCAAAAGGTCTTCCCATAGAAGGCCAGAATGTTTTCTCATAGAAGACTAAATGGTTATCTCATGGAAGACCAAAAGGTCTTCTCCATAGAAGGCCAGTAGGTTTTGTCTATAGAATACCTGAAAAAGGTCTTTCCATAGAAGACCAGCAAAAAATTTTCTCCGTGGGAGGTCAGAAGAAGATTTTCTCATAGACAACTAGAAGAAGGTCTTCTCATAGAGATCCAGAGAATGTTATTTTCTATTGGAAGAAGGTCTTCCCCTAACTAATTAACTAATTTTAAAAATTAATTAAATTTTAATTTTCTTTTCTTTAAAGGGTTTCTATTACTTTGCCATTATTGAGGATTTGGTGTTGCGTTGCAGTTGGGCCCTATCATTCTATATAACCGAAATGAAATACTTGAGCGGTGATGTTATGACTTCTATCACCGGTATACTGGAAGTATTTAGGTAAGCAATATCACGTACCCTTTACATAACTGGAATATAACAAGATTATAATTTTCTTTCCCCACCCTAGACGTTTCGTTTGGAATTTCTTCCGTTTGGAGAACGAACACTTGAATAACTGCGGTAAATTCCGTGCTGTGCGCGATATTTCCATTGCTCCCATAGATTCGTCAGATCAGACGCTGATACTGCGAATGATGGATGAACCGGATGGTGTTATAAATCGTTATACCAAAACCAATCGTCCCAAACCGAAAAAGACAAAAGATCCTGAAAAGAGAAGTTTATTACCGCCACGTGGCTCTTTGCAGGATCTTACCATAGACATTGATGGTACCAAGAAATTATAGGAGATGTAATCAATTTACAACTATAATGCAAGATTAAGAAAGCCAGCAGGGCTTTCACAAACTACAAAGAAACAAATAAGAAACATATATATTTTTAATTAGTTTAGTTAAGTAAAGAAAAAAGTTTTGTTCTTTTTAAGTTTAATATTCTTAAATATGTTTATATTTTTTAGTACAATTTTGTTTGTGTGTGTGTTAAAAATTATAGCCCACCATTTACTTCTTGTTATATACATTCCCCTTTTTCCTCTTGTTTGCGTGTTTATTCTGAAAAAAAAGAAAAATGTAAAAAAGGTAAATCATTTAAAACACCTGTCCTGGTGCAGAGTATAAATTGTTTATTACTGGCAATTTGTTAGCTTTATTTTCATTATCGTCCTGTAATTTTTAAGTACTTAAAAGTAATTCTTCCTCGCAAAAGACTTTTTAAAAAAACATATTTGTTCCCCCTCTTCTTTCTCCTCCTCATTACCACCTCTCTTATTGAAGCGGCAGTATTACTTATAGTTTACTCTTGACTATTTTTCTTGATCCCCACGCCCCGCTTAATTGTTTCCAAAACCAAAACTTATGCTAGCACATAAAACGAAATAACATTCCCATTGGATTATAAGTCAATTAAACATATCTTTATAAATATAATTTTGTTTCTTTCTTTTGTTAATCCTAATATATTTTGTATAAAAAAGAAATTAGGTTGTCCAAATTCCTTCATAAATTATTACTAAAATTAAAACTATTTTTTTTGTTTGTTTTTCTTATGTTCACAACTTCAACGTAGAGTGCTACACGAAACGAATTCAAAATTATAACAATAATACCATACTACTATAGAGATATGAATACAAAAAGTTTTGCTACAAAACTTGGCTCACTTTATTGGTGAGCCTTAAACCACTCTTTTTTTTTTACAAATGTAATTCAAATTGTAGGCCTCACAATTTATAAGAAAAATGAAATACAAAAAAAAAATCGAAAAAAAAATTATACAAAAATTTAAAAAACGAAATTACATTTTAAGATTATTCATACACATACATGCATATTTTTCTAATACAATACTAATACATGTGTAGTAGTAATATGATAATAAAACCATACGATACTTAAACGATAAAATGTTTTGAAAGCAAAAAAAGTTGTTGTTTTATTTCAGAATGGCCAATAGTTCAATGAGAAAATATGTTTCCAACTCGTTTCTATGAAGGAAAAACACATGTTATATATGAAACAAGTAAAAAAGTTGTAAGTTCGAGCTGGCCGAACTTTGAATACCCTCCATCATTTGGTACAAATTTGGCAATTTTCTAAAAAATAAAATCCGTTAAAAAATTTTGTTAAAATCTTAAAGATACCGAATGTAGTCGTATATTAGGGTCTATACGACGACGTGGACCTGCATAGGCAACCTTTGTCATAAGCTATTATAATATTCAAATGCGAAACTTGAAAAAAAAATCTGTTTATAATGTACCTAAAATAAATGAAATACCGAATATAGGAAGATACCATTGTGGTTATAAAACGAGTACTTGTACAGACAATTTTCTGGCATAGGCTGTAGTATCCATTACGAAGTTCAAATACCAAATTTGAAACAATTCCGGTGAATAATGTCGCTAAAATCATCAAAATACCGAATATCGTGAGGTAACGCAATATGGGGGGCTATACGAAGACGTGGATTTGCATGGCCCATTTTCTGTCAGAGGCTGTAGTATCCGTTACGAACTTTAAATACAAAATTTGAAATAATTCCAGTAAATAATGTCGCTAAAATCATCAAAATACCGATTATCGGGATGTACCGCTATATGGGGGCTATACGAAAACGTAGACCCACATGGCTCATTTTCTGTCTTAAGCTGTAGTATCCATTGCGAACTTCAAATGCGGAATTTGAAACAATTCCGGTAAATAATGTCGCTTAAATTATCCAAATACCGAGTATCGGGAGGTACCGTTATTTGGGGGCTATACGAAGACGTGAACCCACATGGCTCATTTTCTGTCTTAAGATTTAGTATCCATTGCGAACTTCAAATACAAAATTTGAAATAATTCCGGTAAATAATGTCGCTAAAATCATCCAAATACCGAATATCGGGAGGTATCGTTATATCACGAAGACGTGAACCTGCACAGACAATCTCCTGTCATTGCTGTAGTATCTATAGCGAACTTCAAATACCAAATTTTAAACAATTCCGGTAAATAATGTCGCTAAAATCGTCCAAATACCGAATATCGGGGAGTACAGTTATATGGGGGCTATACGAAGACGTGAACCTGTACAGACAATCTCCTGTCATATGCTGTATTATCCATTTCGACCTTCAAATACTAAATTTGAAAAAAAATCCGGTAATTAATGTCGCTAAAATCATCAAAATACCGAATATCGGGAGGTACCGTTATATGGGGGCTATACGAAGACCTGGACCTGCATAGCCCATTTTCAATACCAAAAGTCCTGTAGACATAATACACATTTGAGTAAATTTTTATCAACTTATTTCATTTCGTTCGGAAGCTGGAGTGATTTCCACAGACGGACGTACATTGCCAAAATCGACATAGAATTTTATGCTGTTGGGGGGAGGTTCCGAAGCAGTTGGACAATATTGACCAATTGGTATCTGACCTAAGACTAATAAAAATATTACAATGTGCCAGATGTGGACTACAACGACTACTTTCTATACTTTAAAGAAAATATGTGCAAATTTTTGGAAAATGTGAAAATATGCGTGAGGTAACAGATACGGCGGACCGAAAAATCTCATTTTCATATTTCATCTAATACAGTAATAAAAGTAAAAAGTCGGGCGGAGCCGACTATATGATACCCCATACCACTATGCGTATTTTGTAGAGCACCCGTAACAAAAGAATTTATTTCAAGTAGATCATATCACCTATCAACCTTTTTCTTTAGAGAAGTTGTAGGTTGGTTTCAGAGGGTGCTGATATATTGGAGGCATATCCAATTCTGAATCGATTTTAACTAAATTTGACGGAGACATTTCAATATTTTATGCCAAATAACATTGCTATAGAATGCATGATATCACCCGAGTTCTACAAAATGGAAGGGTATATTAACTTGGTCATTCCGTTTGTAACATCCCTAAATATTCGTCGTAGACCCTATAAAGTATATATATTCATAACCAGCATAACGATGTCCGTCTGTCTGTCCATCCGTCTGTCTGTCTGTTGAAATCACGATACAGCTCACATTATTTGACGTAGAGCGTCAAAACTTAGCAGAACAAATTGTATTGTGTCTAGGATGGTTGGTATTGAAATGAGGTATATCGGTCGACATTTTGGTATTGTCCCCATATGACGGTACCTCCCGATTTTTTGGTATTTTGATGATTTTTGCCAATTTTTTTTTACGAATTTATCTAAAAATTGGTATTGTTGTGGGTCATAATGGGTTCTAATGTTTCCTTTACCCTAAAAAGGAGGGTATTAAAAGTTCGGCCCGGCGAACTTTATGTTTTTTACTTGTTATAACAGATCTTGTGTTTATGGAAATATTGAGATGTGCCAAAAGTCTGAATTAAATCGGATGTTAATTTCGCGTTCTAAGAGCTTCGTGGATATTTAAAATTGTGACTTCTTGTGGGGAGGGGTATATGGGGGATATGCTCCACCTTCACCCCAGACCTGGAGTTAATTAAAATATTGTGATGTGTGTAATTTGTAGTGAACCGGATGCTTATTTCGGATTTAATGAACATTTTTGTTATTCGAAATTTTGACCCTTTGTGGGGGAGGTACCGGAAGGAATGGTCCGATCTCTACCATCTTTATAACAGATTATATGTTAATGGAAATATTGATATGTGCCAAGTCTAAATGGAATCGGATGTTAATTTCGTGTTCTATGAGCTTCATGGCTATTCCAAATTCTGACCCCTTGTGGGGGAGGTACCAGAAGAAATGGTCCGATCTGTACCATCTTTATAACAGATTATGTGTTGATGGAAATATTGAGATGTGCCAAGTCTAAATGGAATCGGATGTTAATTTCGTGTTCTATGAGCTTCATGGCTATTCCAAATTCTGACCCCTTGTGGGGGAGGTACCAGAAGGAGTGTACAGACATATCCCATCTTCACAGCAGATCTTGTCTTAGTAGAAATAATGGGATGTGTGAAATATGAAGAGAATCGGATGCTTATTTCGGATTTAATGATCGTTTTTGTTATTTAAAATTTCGACTCTCTGTGAGGGAGATACCAGAAGGATTCGACCGATATATTCCATCTTTACACCAGACCTTGAATTAATAAAAACATTGTTTTGTGTGTAATTTTAAGACAATCGGACACTTACATCACATTTTGTACGAGTTATAATTTTTCAAAATTTTGACCCTTTGTGGGGGAGGTACTTGATGGAGTGGATCGATATTGTCCATTTTCGCATCTGACCTAGTACTGATGCAAATATAAGGTTTCGCAAAGTTGGAGCAAAATCGGATTATCGTTTCTCTTTTTGTGCAACAAACTATTTTCTTTGAAAATATTGAACTTTTATGGGGGAGGTACCAGATGGAGTGGACCGATATATCTTCATCTTCACACCAGACCTTGGTTTAATAAAAATATTAGGATATGTGAAATTTGAAGACAATCGGACACTTACATCACATTTTGTAAGATTTATAATTATTCAAAATTTTGACCCTTTGTGGGGGAGGTACCTGATGGAGTGGATCGATATTGTCCATTTTCGCATCTGACATAGTACTGATGCAAATATAAGGATTTGGAAAGTTGGAGCAAAATCTGATTATCCTTTGTTTCTCTGTGCAGTAAAATATTTTCTTTGAAAATATTGACATTCTGTGTGGGTGGTACCTAAAGGTGCGGACCGATATTGCCCATCTCCGAACTCGATCTAAGTTTGACAATAATATTACGATGTACCAAGTTTGGACCAAAGCGAATACTCCCTTCTAGAGTTTTCGTGCGCAACAGCCAGACTGACGGACGGACATCGCTAGATCGACTCCAAATGTCCTGAAACGGATTTGGTCCAAAGAGACCTAGGGACTAAGACCGTTATTTCGTTGAGGCACGTTTTGCCCGTATCAAATGATTTATTCCCTCTCTAGCCATATGGCTGAGGTTATAAAAAAGTAAAGGATAGAATACTGGATGTAAATATTGACATCGAAAAAAATATTTTGGGTCGAAAAAAATAATTTTCAATCCAAAAAAATAAGTAAAAAAATAAAAATACCTCCTGAATTTATACAGAACCCGTTATGAAGTTCTCCGAGAAATTGGGAGCCCACTTAACACCGGAATGGCGCCAGCAATATATATCTTATGTGGTAAGTTACCAATCAAATATCAATGATATTCAAAAATTTTCAAAATTCTTCTCGTGTTTCAGGATCTGAAAAACATGATTTTGAATGTCATTGAAAATGCCCCAATTCCACAGATGGTCTCGGGCCGGATGATTGAAGTCTATTTCCGAAATTTCGAAGATGAATTCTTTTTTGAATGTGAAAAGGAGCTGCGCAAGATCAATACATTTTATGCGGAGAAATTGGCAGAAGCCACCAGGCGCAGTGAGGCCTTGGCCACATCTTTAGATGTCATTGGAGCTGAATTTCGTTTGAAGAAACGTACCCAGTCTCGTTACAGTCTACATGCCAATGCACTGAGTAAGACATCCAAGAAATGGAAGAAAACAAAAATGGAGGAACTACGTAATGCCTATAGTGAGCTGTATTTGAGTTTGGTGCTGTTGCAGAACTATAAGGTTTTGAATCATACCGGATTTCGTAAGATATTGAAGAAACATGATAAGGTTGGGGGAGGGAATTGGTGATGGAATTCAATTGCTAATGCGTTAGGGGTTTTCCAGCTTTTGAACAATGACCAGGGGGCTAAATGGTTTGCCAAGAATGTCGATACGGCCTATTTTTATAAGAACAATGACTTGGATCGTCTAATTGAGGAGGCGGAATATAATGTCACCGAATATTTGGAAAATGGCGATAGGGCCCAGGCCATGAAACGTTTGCGGGTACCACCCTTGGAGGAGACACAAGATATTGGCACAGTGTTTCGGGTGGGATTTTTCATTGGAGTCTTTACGGTGCTGTTGGCCGCCGTGTTTTTGACAGGTTTGGAAATACAACACTAGGCAACATAAAAAATGAGAATAACACAGAAGATTACACAATGCGACAGAACTAAATTTTCCAATAATTATGGGAAAACTCCAGTAGAAGTAGAGTCGAAAAAAGAAGACTGGTGTAACGGCGTTTTGAAAGTTTTCATCGCAAAGTAACCTAAATAGAGTAGGTAAGGTCCCCCCTCTTCCACACTTTTGGAGATTTTCGAATTAAGATTCCTTGGAATCAGGGCATTTTAGGTATACATTATATATGGGTGCTATACTAAAACGTAGACCTATATAGACAATTATCTTCGCGGGGGTAAAGTACTCAGAGAGAACGCCTTGTGTGGATTTTCAGACTATTCCATTGAAAAATATGGCTAAAATCATCAAAATACCGAATATCGAGGGTACCACTATATGGGGGCTATACAATATCGTGGGTCTATATAGAAAATTCCACTTCAGGGGGTAAAGTACTCACAGAGAACTTCTTGTGTAGAATTGCAGACAATGCCATTGAAAAATATGGCTAAAATCATCAAAATACCGAAAATCGGGGGGTACCGTTATATGGGGCTATAAACGTGGACCTATGTGGAAAATTCCCCTTCAGGGGGTAAAGTACCCACAAATAGCTCCTTGTGTAGAATTTCAGACAATTCCATGGAAAAATATGCCTAAAATCGTCGGAGGGTACCGTTATATGGGGGCCATTCGATATCGAGGACCGATATAGCCCATCTTCGAACTTGACCTGCCTGCACACAGAAAAATGATCTGTGCAAAATTTTAGCTTCCACAGACGGACGGACGGACAGAGCTAAATCGTCTTAGAATTTTACGCTGATCAGGAATATACAGGGTGAGACAAAAAAACTGCAACAAAGTCAAACGCCATAATTTTTACATTTTTTTTTTTAAATTTTTCTGAATGAAAGCAAAAAATGTCGGAAATAGCATCAAATTTTAGAATAAGTTTCGATTTGTTCGAGTTGGTCACCTTTGGTACGAATTATGGCCTTCAAACGGCCAATGAAACCGTCACACGCTGCCCGTATGTTGCTCTGTGGTATTTTGGCTCATTCTCGGCGAAGCGCTTGCTTGAGGTGATCGACACTTTGGTATTTTTTAGTGCCAACCTTGCTTTCCAAAATACTCCAGACACAATAGTCCAATGGATTGGTATCCGGAGATTTTGGCGGCCATTGTGCGCTGTAAATGAAGCGAGGAACCTCATTTTGTAACCTTCCATGGGTGGCGCGTGCTGAGTCCTGTTGGAATATCCAAGGTCTGCGGCCAAAATCTTTTGCGTGCCCAATATTTTCGCGATAATATTCGGCATTTATTTTGATGCCAAGGTCGATTAATACGAGCGGAGAGCGAAGATCGGCTGTTATGGTGGCCCACATCATCACTATGGCCGGGGCTTGAGTTCTGGTGGCCAAGGGAAGGTGCACATTTTCAGCTGACCTCTTTGGCAAGTAATCCCGATCATTTTGTTTGTTTACAAACTGCTGGACAACGAATGTTTTCTCATCGGAATCGGAGAAATCCAAATTCGGCAGTTCACCACTTTCGGCCAAGCAACTCGAAGCAACTCTTTAGCTCTTTTGAGTGTATTTTCTTTCTGTTGCGGTGTAAGTTCTTGCACATTTTGGAATTTCAATGGCTTTACCCCGAGCTCATTTTTCAATATTTGCCGAATGGAATATTGCAATATGTTCAGCCCACGAGCCATATTTCCGACACAGCGACGAGGGTTTCGATCAAGTCGCTTCTTTACTTTTCGAACCATTTCTGCGGAGGTTGCTGTTTTCTTCCATCCACTTCCTTGACGTCAGGCTACGCTACTAGTAACGCTCACGATAACGAACGATGCTACGAGACACAAAAGATTTATTCACATTTAAATGCTGGAGGGCTCTAATGATAGCCCCTTGTGGTTTTACAGTTAAATATAAAGAAATCACACTATTCCGCTTGAATCCCATCACGAATAACTTTTTTTCTAGAAAATTCTCACCAAAATGCTTTTGTACGCTTGTATACAATATAATGAGCTGTCACTGGAATAATTCTAACAGCTGTCGGACGAGTGGCTTAGAAATGGCAGCAGTCGGAAGTTGGTTGCAGGTTTTTCATCTCACCCTGTATATATACTTTTTTTGGGTCTAAAATTATTATTTCGATGAGTTCCAAACGGAATGACGAACTAAATATACCCTCCATACTATGTATGGTGGAGGGTATAAAACGCTGCTACATGTGCCTCCTTTTTATAGCCTCCACCATATTATGGAGGGTATATTAAGTTTGTCATTCCGATTGTAACACCTAGAAACAAATATTTTAGAACCAGTAAAGTACATATATTCTTGATCAGCATAAAATTCTATGTCGATTTAGCAATGACCGTCCGTCTATCCGTCCGTGAAAATCACTCTAGCTTCCGAACGAAATGAAGTAAGTTGATAACAATTTACTCAAATGTCTGTCTTTATGTCTTCAGAACTTTTGGTATTGAAAATGGCCCATGTAGGTCAACGTCTTCCTATAGCCCCCATATAACGGTACCTCCCGATATGCGGTATTTTGTTGATTTTAGGGACATTATTTACCGGAATTGTTTCAAATTTTGTATTTGAATTTCGTAATGGATACTACAGCCTAAGACCGAAAACGTGCCATGTAGGTCCACGTCCTTATATATCCTCCATATAACGGCACCTCCCGATATTCGGTATTTTGACGATTTTGGCAACATTATTCACCGGAATTGTTTCAAATTAGGTATTTGAAATTCGTCATGGATACTACAGCCTTTGACAGAAAATTTTCTGAGCAGGTCCACGTTTTAATATAGCCCTCATATAACGGCACCTCCAGATATTCGGTATTTTGATGATTTTGGCGACATTATACATCGGAATTGTTTCAAATTCCGAATTTGAAGTTCGTAATGGATACTACAGCCTATGCCAGAAAATTGTCTGTGCAGGTCCACGTTTTATAACCCCCATGGTACCTCCCTATATTCGGTATTTTGATGATTTTAGCTACATTATAAACACATTTTTTTCCTCAATTTCGCATTTGAATATTATATTAGCTTATGACAAAAGTTGCCTATGCAGGTCCACGTCGTCGTATAGACCCTAATATACGGCTACATTCGGTATTTTTAAGATTTTAACAGGATTTTTTAATTGATTTTATTTTTTTGAAAATTACCAAATTTGTAGCAAATGGTGGAGGGTATACAAAGTTCAGCCCGGCCGAACTTATAGCTTTTTTACTTGTTTAGCTCTACTTTCATTATCTGTTGAAATTTCCCCGCATCCATGTGGCCCAGTGTAATCTAATGGGGGTTTTCTTGTAATTTAGGAAAATTTTTAATTTTTTTTTTGAATTTCTTTTGTTGCAGATTCTGTGCAGTCTCTAAGTTCCCTGGACAAACAATATGGCTTGATATTATTTCGTGGACCCTTCTATGTGATCATGTATCTGTTCCTCTTGGGTGTCAATGTTTTGGCCTGGCGTCAATATGGAGTCAATCATATTTTAATTTTTGAAATCAATCCTCGCAAACGCCTGACCTCATCTCATCTATTGGAACTGCATGGCATATTTGGGGTACTGTGGTGCCTTTGTGTGTTGGGTTTTATTTATGGCCCAGTATTGTATCTACCGCGTTATTGGTTTCCTTTGCTGTTCCTTGTTATGATGTTGGGATTTTTACTCGTACCTTTGCCAATTTTTCATTTGAGTGGCCGCCTGTGGTTAATGAGGTTGATGGTAAGTGGGGAAGGAATATTTGTTCTAAGAAAGACGTTTTCGGGCCGAACTTTGAATACCCTCCACCATTTGGTACAAATCCATTAAAAATTCTGTTAAAATCTTAAAAATACCGAATGTAGCCGTATATTAGAGTTTATACGCCGACGTGGACCTTCATAAGCAACTTTTGTCATAAGTCTGCACAGACAATTTTCTGGCATAGGCTGTAGTATCCATTACGAACTTCAAATACAAAATTTGAAATAATTCCGGCAAATAATGTCGCTGAAATCATCAGAATACCGATTATCAGGGAGTACCGTTACATGGGGGCTATACGAAGACGTGGACCTGCACAGACAATTTTCGGTCATAGGTTGTAGTATCTATTACGAACATCAAATACCAAATTTGAAACAATTCCGGAAAATAATGTCGCTAAAATCATCAAAATACCGCATATCGGCAGGTACCGTTATATGGGGACTATACGAAGACGAGAACCTCCCGAGACAATTTTCTGTCACAGGATATCGGAAATATCGAATATCGGGAGGTACCGTTATATGGGGGCTATACGAAGACGTGGATCTGCATGGCACATTTTCTGTGTCAGGATGTAGTATCCATAGCGAACTTCATATACCAAATTTGAAACAATTCCGGTAAATAATGTCGCTAAAATCATCAAAATACCGAATATAAGGAGGTACCACGGGGGTTATAAAACGTGGACCTGCACAGATAATTTTCTGCCATAAGCTGTAGTGTCCCTTAAGAACTTCAAATGCGAAATTTGAAACAATTGCTGTAAAAAATGTCGCCAACATAATCAAAATACCGAATATCAGGTGCTACCGTTATATGGGGGCTACACGAATACGTGGACCTGCACAGACAATTTTCTGTCACGGCTGTAGTATTCATTACGAAGTTTAAATACTAAATTTTAAATAGTTCCGGTAAATAATGTCGCTAAAATCATCAAAATACCGAATATCGGGAGGTACGGTTATATGGGGGCTATACGAAGATGTGGGCCTACATGGTCCATTTTCTGCCATTACTAATTCGAATACCAAATTTGAAACAATTCCGGTGAATAATGTCGCTAAAATCATCAACATACCGACTATCGGGGGGTACCGTTATATGGGGGCTATACGAAGATGTGAGCCTACATGACCATTTTCAATACCAAAATTCCTGCAGACATAATACACATTTGGGTACATTTTTATCAACTTACTTCATTTGGTTCGGAAGCTAGAGTGATTTCCACAGACGGACAGACGGATAGACGGACGGACATTATTAAATCGACATAGAATTTTATGCCGATCAAGTGGGGTCTTAAATGTATATTTCGAGGTGTTACAAACGGAATGACAAACTTAATATACCCTCCATACTATGGTAAGGGGTATAAAAATAATTTCGTATAATTTCCTCTTCTAGGGTCGCGTCTGTGCTGCGCCATTCTATGCCGTTGGTTTTGCTGATTTTTGGTTTGGTGATCAATTGAATTCTTTGGTTTCCTGCCTCTTGGATCTGAAATACATGGTCTGTTTCTATTCCCTGCACTCACAGTGGGGTGAAAATTTCGAACCGGGTAAATGTCTGGATCAGGACTATATCGGAAATGCCATAATACGCTGCCTCCCGGCCTGGTTTCGTTTTGCCCAATCCGTGCGACGATATCGTGATACCGGCCTGGTACATCCCTTCCTTGTGAATGCTGGGAAATATTTCACCACATTTCCCATGGTCTTGTTTGCAACGCTAATGGCAGTATATAAAGGTATTTGGAGGTATTGGAGATACTGCAATTTATATTTCTAATTTTTTGTCTTATCCTTTTTCAGCCGATTATCCCCATTTCTTTGCCAATCCCTTCGTGTGGTGTTACATCATTGCGGCCACAGTCCAAACGTTGTATTGTTACAGCTGGGATATTTTACGCGATTTTAGTTTATTTGAAAACTTCTCAGGCAAAAATATATTCCTACGCGATCAAATAATATATCCTGCGAAATTCTATTATTTTGTGATAGTGGAGAATTTGTTTTTACGTTTCTTTTGGGTCATCTCGATGTTTATGACCGTGAATCGTGGCATTGAGGCTTATCTAATGGACACCATTGCTGGTTGCTTGGAAATTTTCAGGTTAGTGGGAACAATTTTTTTTATGCGCTCCACCATAGTATGGTTTGTCATTCCATTTGTAACACCTCGAAATATACACTTCGGACCCCACAAAGTCTATATATTCTTGATCAGCATAAAATTCTATGTCGATTTAGCGATGTCCGTCCGTCTGTCCCCCTGTGGAAATCACTCTAGCTTCCGAACGAAATGAAGTAGGTTGATAAAATTTTACTCAAATGTATATTATGTCTGCAGGACTTTTGATATTAAAAATTGGCCATGTAGGTCCACGTTTTTGGTATAGCCCCCATATAACGGTACCTCCCGATATTCGGTATTTTGATAATTTTAGCCACATTATTCACCGGAATTGTTTCAAATTTAGTATTTGAAGTTCGTAAGGGATACTATAGCCTATAACAGAAAATTATCTGTGCAGGTCTATGTCTTCTTATAGCCCTCATATAACGGTACCTCCCTATTTTCGGTATTTTGATAATTTAAGCGACATTATTCACCGGAATTAGTTCAAATGTGGTATTTGAGATTCGTAATGGATACTACAGCCTATGACAGAAAATTATCTGTGCAGATCCCCGTTTTGGTATAGCACCCATATAACGCTACCTCCCGATATTCGGTATTTCGATGATTTTAGCGACATTATTCACCGCAATTGGTTGAAATGTGGTATTTGAGATTCGTAATGGATACTACAGCCTACGACAGAAAATTGTCTGTGCAGGTCCACGTCTTCGTATAGCCCTCATATAACGGCACCTCCCTATTCTCGGTATTTTGATCATTTAAGCGACATTATTCACCGGAATTGTTTCAAATTTGGTATTTCAAGTTCGTAATGGTTGCTACAGCCTGTGACAGAAAATTATCTCTTCAGGTCCACGCCTTCGTATAGCTCCCATATAACGGCACCTCCCGATATTCGGTATTTTGATGATTTTAGCTACATTATTAACCGATTTTTCGCATTTGAATACTGTAATGGCTTATCACGAAGCTGTCTATGCAGATCCACGTCGTCGTATAGACCCTCATATGACTTCTATATTCGGTATTTTTAATATTTAAACAGAATTTTTAACTTTTTTTTTATTTTTTTTTTGCAAAAATTGCCAAATTTGTTTGGAGGGTACTCAAAGTTCGGCCCGGCCGACACACACCAGTGGCTATCGTTAGAGCGAGTAAATCTTTTTGTGTCTCGTACTATCGCTCGTTACCGTGATACTGCTGGCGTAGCCCGACGTCAAGGAAGTGGACGGGAGAAAACAGCAGCATCGGCAGAAATGGTTCAAAAAGTAAAGAGGAGACTTGATCGAAACCCGCTTCACAGTTGCCGACAAATAGCTCGTGAGCTGATTATATCGGAATATTCCATTCGCCAAATATTGAAAAATGAGCTCGGGGTAAAGCCATTGTAATTCCAAAAAGTGCAAGAACTCACACCACAACATAAAGAAAATAGACTCAAACGGGCTAAAGAGTTGCTTCGCTTGGCCGAAAGTGGTGAACTGCCGAATTTGGTTTTCTCCGTCTCCGATGAGAAAAGTTGAGTTGTCCAGCAGTTTGTAAAAAAAAATGGTCGCCACAGAGGTCAGCTGAAAATGTGCACCTTCGGTTGGCCACCAGAACTCAAGCGCCAGCCATAGTGATGGTGTGGGCCGCCATAACAGCCGATGGTCACTCTCCGCTCGTATTAATCGACCGTGGCATCAGAATAAATGCCAAATATTATTGCGAAAATATTCTACAAAATGAGGTTCCTCGCTTCATTTCTAGCTCACAATGGCCACCAAAATCTCCGGATACCAATCCCTTGGACTGTTGTGTCTGGAGTATTTTGGAAAGCAAGGTTGGCACTAAAAAATACCAAAGTGTCGATCACCTCAAGCCAGCACTACGCCGGGAATGGGCCAAAATACCGTAGAGCAACATTCGGGCAGGGTATGACGGTTTCATTGCCGTTGAAGGTCATAATTCCTGCCAAAGGTGATCAATTCGAACAAATCTAAACTTATTCTAAAATTTGATGCTATTTCCAAAATTGTAAAATTTAAAAAAAAAAACCTGAAATAATTATGGCGTTTGACTTTGTTGCAGTTTTTTTTATCTCACCCTGTATGTATATTTTCAGACGCTACCTCTGGAACTACATACGGCTGGAGAACGAACACCTCTTTAATGTGGGTCAGTTTCGAGCGGTACGCGACATATTCATTGCACCCATTGAAGATGACAAAAGTTCCATTAATCTTGAACGGATGATGGACGAAGAGGATGGTGTGCAGAATCGCAAAAGGAAAATTCAATTTCAGGATGATGACAAGGAGGATTAAACAATTCGATTTTATCTATATTTATTTATTAGAAAAAAAACAACATTAAAAATAATATAAAATATAATTATTTTAAGAAATATTATCTGCCACCCCCGACACCAAGGCTGTGCCTCGCAATATCCAAAAGTCGGCAGGCAGAGAACTTTCCAAAAGTATGGAGAGAATAAAATTCGTAGAATGACCAGTTGTTGATAGAACTCCAGAGCGGGCTTGGGTCTTATAGAGGGGAGCCTCGTAACGTTGACCGCGATCCAGTTGTAGGCAGGGTATAAAACGTATGGTCGGCATTCGGGTATAGAGTTCACCAATGTTGGCATCACATAGACCTCCTTTTTGGCGGTTCCATTGGGCAGCCTCAACAAAAATGCCATGCACGTTGACACCAGCCTCGGAGGATTCCGGTAAATCGCCATAGAGGTCATCAACCTGTTATAGGAAAAAAAGGGGGGTTTATTTTTTGGTTAAAAAATCGCGGACGTCTTGTTAAAGAGAATATCCGCAATAATTAAATCCTACCTCCATTCCATTTGCTCTCCTTTCGAAAAATTCCTGTTGCACCAGAATCCTTTCGATAACCTGAAAATCGATTTTCAGGGAATCAATTGGTAGTATACGCTTCCGCGCATGCGTCTGCAACACCCCCGTGAGAAAAGATTGCGGAAAATAAAAACCACTTATCCAAAAAGATTTTGGATTCCCCTCATTCGCCCAGTTTTGGATGAAATCTATACGCCTTTGAAAATCCGCAATATAACTTGGCAGTGGTTTGATGGATAGGAAACTTTTCTTTTCCCATAGCTTGGGTACCATATTGGCTAGGAGGGACTTAAAGACTTCTTCCAGCTCTTCAGACATGACCACCAATCCCCGGATGGCCTTGGCGAGATTTACCAAACTATCGTGGACCAGGCGTAGGGAAATGTTGTAGCGATCGATTTCCTGCACCAAGACCGTGGTCAGCGAGGGCATTTGGCCTTTGGCATCAATCTGGGAAGGGAAAAAATGAGGTTCTCCCTTTTTAATATTTAAGTTCTTAAAAATACTCACCGTCACCAAAGAAGCATGCAAGGACTCTTTGTTGATCTTGGGCGCCAGAACCTCTTGTATCTTCCTGATAATATCCAAACACAAATCATTCTCCTGGGCCTGACCCTCCTCGGCTGCAGAGCGTGGCTGGCCCTCCATTAGGGTATTTATAAAGAAATTTGTCTCCTTGCTTTGAAACACCAAATTGGCATTTTCATTCATGCCAAAGATCTCCGGATCCTCAAGGGTGGGGAAATTCAGTACATAATCCTTGTACTCCTGTATGCTGGCCTTGCGTGGATCCCGGTAATATGGATCTCCACGACAGTACTTGTAGTCCTCCTCAAGAATTTTCTCAAATGTGAAAATTTTCAATATGGTGCGCAGGCAACGCTGATCCCACGAATCGGTGACCCTACCACCCCAGGTTATTTCACCATTGATATAGTATATGGCCTCCCAGGGGATTTTCTCCTCCACTTCCCGATTTATAAAGAAATCCAATGTCTTGAGACCACATTCTCGATCACTTTCATTGAATTCATAGGTTATGTTCCATCCGAGGGGTCCGAATTTCCGGCGCTCCAAGAGCACAGCATGGAAAACACACAAACCAAAAACAATGGCCCGCCATTTTTGCTGCAGAATGTGATGCTCAAAGAAATCGGGATTAATATCTGCCAGGGCACCCAAAACATTAGCTTTTATGCCCTTCGGAGGTTCATTGGTCACCTTGACGGAATTTTGTAGAACGCTTATGGGGAAACTTTTCTGTGGCATGGAGGATAGAAACAAACGAAAATCCGCATGGGCCACAGTTTCACCCAGTGTTATGTTGCGTACAATCGCCTCCATTTGACCCATCCAGGAGGTGGCCAAATGGCAATTTTGCAGGAATACCCAATGGCCCAGCCTCAAACTTTTCTCTATTAAACTTTCGGCAATGGGTCCTTGACCTTGGCCCAGCGAAATGGAATAGAATTTGTCCATGTATTTCATATCTTCGGCAAATCTAAGGAAATTGGCCATGGGATCGGAACCACTGGACAACACGAAAACCAGGGGTGTTACATTGGAGGTATCCAAGAATCTGGAAAAAAATGTGAAATTAAAAATTCCTTAGAGTTTCAGTTAGACTTCGACCTACACAACTTTGAGTTGACTGCCCTCGGCCGAAACTTCGGTAAAATGGCGCCCAATTGTTATTCTCAAATAGACCACAACATTTAGGAGGAATCTTTCCTTGCGAAAGACTCGGATGAACATTAGTTTTTGAAAAGCTGTTAATCTCAGATTCCAGTAATCGCTCGGAGGACCCTTGGCCGAGCAAAAATTAAAGACCTGGGGAAAGAATACAGGTAACCTTATACGAATTTCAAAATATAGAAATTCTTTGACTAACCTCCCGATTATTATCCATTTGCAAAAAGAAGGGCTCATCCAAACGCTCCGTAAATCCCTCAAATGCCCGGAAATTCTCCTCCAAAAACAGGCAGGCCTCCCATTCAAATTGACTCAACTTTAAGTGGGCCGGTTTCATCCTCTCTCTAACCGTGCCTACAACACCTCGAGTCAGGAAATTAAATTCCTGTTGACTTACCCTACCCTCCTGCCGTTCAATTGCCTGTGAGAGCAGAAAACTATAGATTAGCTTGTGATTCTCAAAGAGCCCCCTTGACACATTATCATAGAGGGCCTTCAGCTCATCCAGCTTCAATTGAGCAATACGATCCTCGGTATTCATTTTCGGGTGGTCTTGGCGTATCACCGCACAGAACACTTGTGAGAAATATTTCAAGCTATACTGATACATTGGATCGATATCGGCCAGGCTGGCTATTACGAAGTAGAGTATGGCCCCACGAGATGCTAGGCTGCGATATTTTTCCCGGGTGGCCGTTATGACTTTTTCCGTTTCCTCGGTGTCCACCAGCCGGGTGGCAATAATCAGAGAGGTTTCCTGGAGGGTAAAGAGAGAGAGAGAGAGATAAAATTGAGTCCTGATGTTTAGGAAAAATCTAGAGTATCATCTAGAGTATTCTGGAACCCATATCAGGTTACTTGGCGATGTAAACTTTCAAAAACCCCGAATTACGTGTCCTCTATTTTAAGCTCTACTTCCATAATTGGGTTCAGTTTTTCCCGAATTTATATGAGAGTTTTTTTTGCTTGGGATCGGCTCTTACCTTAGCATCATTCAGAGTTTCCACCAACTCTTCGTCATCCAAAATATTACCCTTGGAATGGAATAACAGTTTTAGGACCTTATCTTCCAGGGCCAGCAGCTGCTGTTTGTCGGCATTGATTTTCACAATTAAATCATTTCGTTGGATTTCCAGAGCTGGGAGTTCTATGGCCACGATGTCGCTGTAAGAAAAAAAGGGAGAACGAATTAAAAATATTTTTTTCCTAAAATAAAAATCTGCTCCAACTCACGCCAGCAGCTGATCTTCCAATCCCGTTTCGGTGACCAAAAAATTCACCAAAGTCACATTAATACAAATCTCAGGCAGATAATGAGGATTGGCCAATTTGGTGGTCATATACAGCCGGAAACGTTCATCATAATCGATAATGACATCTCCCAGCTTCAGATAGGTTCTACCCTCAAAAACATAGGTTTCTCTCTGCAACACCGGGCGAATAGAGGGATCTATGCTCTCGCTGATATCCTCCAAGAGTATCGGATATCCTTGACGTATGCAATTCTCCATCACCCTTAGTAAATTCGAATCATTCATTTTCAGGATGTGTAAATTATTAGATTTTTCCATGTTGCGTATCCAACGATTTGCCTGCTCCTGGGGATCTATCATCAAAGGCCATCTCAGGGCCCGTGTGGCATATAGGCCATTTTCAATGGATATATCATCTTTGGGCAAACCATCCATGATCCATTGACGTATCTCATAGGGATCGCCTAGAACTTTGAGGAGATGAAATTCCGCACTGGAGGGTATTTTTTGTTCGCGACACTTTTCAACCCATCGCTGGCAGAGTTCATTGCGATATTCAGTGGAAAAGGCGCCCAAATAGGCAACACAGGCAGCGGAAACTAAAACGTCGCCCGGAACATATGCCAGCTCTTGGGTGAGGATCTGAAATATGGGAAAAATATCATTAAAAAAATGGAAAATGGGTCGACGTTCGTTATATAGAATTTCTGCAGTGAACAAGAGGTATTTAACAGCCAGAATACCTTCTGGAGGTCCTATAAAGGTAAAAGACCCAGGAAAAACCTTTACAACTAAGAGAACATGTAGGTCTTGTCCATGGAGGTGGTCTAAGCAGTGCGACAGCATAATAAAAAGCTTGGGTGTTACAGACAGACCCATCCGAATCACCATCTGGTGGATAGGCATCCTCCGCTTAGGCAAGTAAGAAAAGACCTTCATGATCTGGAGAGAGGGGTAAGTGGGAGCCTCTAGATCACTCTAACGCGGTCTCAGAAGCTGCCCCTACAAACTCGAGTAGTTTTTGCATAGTTAAGATCCGGATGGTGCAGCCGCCTCAATTCATATTGAGCCCGAAAATACAGCGATGTCCAGAACATCTGCCCGGCTTGTGGCACAGTTCCACATGACATGCTGTACCTATTTCGCTGCCCAGTCAAACCTATTCAATTAACATGTTGTGGACTCAACCCGTTAAGGATGTGTCCTTTTTGAGACTGGACTTAGAAGCTGAACCCGTAAGAAAATATCTTCATGATCTAGAGAGAGGTACAGAGGTATAAGAGAGAGAGAGAGAGAGAGAGAGAGAGAAGGAGAGAGCCTCTATAGGCCTATCAAATAGCACTGAATATTATTTACTCTGACGCGGTCTCAGAGGACATGGTAGGATATAGAGAGAATACCGTACTTGGAGACCATCCTCCTCTCATGGCAGCTGGAGAACGATAGCTGCCCTGACAAACCCGAGTAGTTTTGGCACAGTTAATATCTGCAGCCGCCTGGTGCAGCCGCCTCAATTCGTGCTGAGCCCGAATTGACAACGATGTGCAGAACATCAGCCCAGCTTGTGGCACAGGTCCACATGACTCGCTGCAGCTATTTCGCTGCTCAGCCAAACCTACTTACCTAACTCAAGTATCATTGTGGACTCAACCCGTACTTTTTGAGACTGGACTTTGAAGCAGAACCCGTAAGAAAAGGCCTTTATGATCTAGAAATCTAGAGAGAGATAGAGGTTTTAAGACAGAGCCTCTAGATCAACAGGCCTGGCAAGCAGTACTGAATAGTATTCACTCTGAGGCGGTCTTAGAGGTCATGGTAGTATTATGAGATCGTCCTCCTCTCATGGCAGCTGGAGAACGATAGCTGCCCCGACAAACCCGAGTAGTTTTGGCACAGTTAATATCTGCAGCCGCCTGGTGCAGCCGCCTCAATTCGTACTGAGCACGAATTGACAGCAATGTGCAGATCATCTGCCCAGCTTGTGGCACAAGTCCACATGACGCTGCAGCTATTTCGCTGCCCAGCTAAACCTACTCACCTAACTCCTGTCCCCCTTTTTGAGACTGGACTTAGAGCCAGAACCTGATTGAGAGAAGTCAAAACGAACACAGCAGTATGAGCTGCTACAACAACAACTAGGAGGCGTTGTAGATAAACTCTTCCAGAGGACCTTCATGTATCTATCAACTGGTCAATTAGAGGCTTTAATTGGTAAGGCTAAACGAAGTTATTACCTCCACAGTTTCCTTCCATCGCACTTCTTCATCCGACAGAGCCGAGGTTAATCTTCCCGCTCGATTCAAACGGCCATAAGTCAAATCCACGGCATCTTGTATAACCTGAAACTCACGACTTTTCTGATCGATATTATCTCGAAGAGCTTGAATTTTAGCCTCAACGGCAGCCAATTCTTGCTGCTTGGCTCTCAGCTCGGCCATGACTTCTTTGAGTTCACTTTCGGCTTGTTCTTTGCGGCGAATTTTGGGTTCCACAACCTTATAGACCTTGGCAAATTTATCCATGGCAATTACCCAAAGACTTACGGATTTGGCAACCTTGGAGACTTTTTCGAATTTCTGTAAAAAAAAAATAAAAAATAAAGCATACTTTTAGGAGGAGCGATTTACTTACAGCTGGCACAAAATCTTTGTGGTCAATGTACTTTTTGACCTTCTTCAGCGTGTCCTCCTTAATGTGTTCCTTGTCGAATTCAAAAAGACGTTTGATGAAATTCACATCGGCCATTATGGTTTTGGCTGAGGCCCAGGTGGGTCTAAAGAGAAGAGAAAATTAAAACAATAAACCCTAATATTATGCTTTCGAATAAATATCCTACTTGGCGCCCAATAGTAGGCACACAGCCTCCATAACAAATTGCACCAAAGCCGGTGGCGTGGTAAAAGACTTCAATTCATTTATGTCTGCCTTGGTCAGACCCTTTAAGGCCTCTTCGGATTCTTTTAAGGCTGGCATTGCAATTTCCAAATCCTTGTTGGCATCATCAGACATGGCCTGACAAACGGCTGCCTTTTCCTTGGCACTGGCCTCGTCACGCACCACACTTTCCTTTACCATATCCGCCTGTTTGGTATCACCGGCCAAACGTTCTAGCAGGGTTTTCATGTTGGCCGATTTTTCATCCAGTTGGGGCACCATGACTTCCAATTCTTTTTGCATGACAGCGATCTGAAGATAGAATAAGGCAACTTAGTGGAAAAAATACTCCTCTTGGAAATGTCTTGCTTACAATTTCATTGGTCTCCAAGATCTTATTGAGGCCATTTGCAATTCTCTTCCTTTTATTGACCAAATCCTGGGTCTTAGCCTTCAGCAAACTCTGATAGAGTTTCAGCAGCTCCAAATAACTACTGGGCGTGGTGTAGTAGTGCCGCTTCATTTCTTTGTAGAACCTCAGCGAAGCATCTTCCACAGTTTTGTGCATAAACACTGTGGTCGTGGCCAAGGCCTGACATTCTTCCGGCGTTTCGGTATTCTTTGCCAACAGGCCCAAGGCCACCGAATACAAGGCCTCCGTTGGCCAATTGGAAAACCAATCGATGGTGGTACAATTCACCAAAGATGGGAACATGCGACAACGTCTACGGAAAGCATCTCCAACCGGAGACATGGAGAGCACAACATGTAAGTTGTTACGCACCCGATTAATAAAGAATTTGTAGATTGTATCACGAGAGCAGCCCTGCGAGAGAGAGAGGTGATTAGTATATGGGTTTACAAAAAAAAAAAGACAGAGAGGGAGAGAATGGAAAATCAATGCTGACTTGTTGAACAAAGAGAGAGAGAGAGATAGATAAAGATAATAGTAAGAGAGAGCGATATATAGTTAATTAAAGTAATGTTCTCTCCATGAACAAAGAGAGAAAAAGCTTGAACTGTTATTTCGCCAACGTGCTTGGATGGACACTGACGTTTTAGTAGAAATCCTTGAAGTTTCTAGAGAAATACCTCTTTGTTGACAGCATTGCATTGATCGCGGGCATCCAGAATAATCTTTTCATAGTCATCTCCCTCGAAGAGATTTGGCACCTCTCCTGAATTCAAAATATTATTGATATCCTCCAGGAATTCTTCTTCAACAATTTGAGTATCGATCATTAGAAATACCACAGGTTGATTGTCAATCTGCAAGTATTTGGTGAAGAGATTAAAACACGTTTTAAAATAACTCAACATCTGAAGAAAAATAAGGAAAAGAAGAATGATGTAATTGTTTAAATTATATTTACAAAAAGGATCAGACTGCCTACCTTATTATGAGAGATATAAGTATTAACAAGTAAAAAAGCTTTAAATACCCTGCACCGTTTGCAACGAATTTGGCAATTAAAAAAAATAAAATCCGTTAAAAATTCCGTTAAAATTTAAAAAAAAATACCGAATGTAGCCGTTATATTAGGGTCTATACGAGGAAGACGTGGACCTGGACATACAATTTTCCGTCTTAGGCTGTAGTATCCATTACGAATTTCAAATACCAAATTTGAAACATTTACGGTGAATAATGTCGCTTAAATCACCAAAATACCGCAGATAGGGAGGTACCATTATATGGGGGCTATACCCGAAGGTGGACCTACATGACCCATTTTCAATACCAAAAATCCTGCAGACATAATATACAGGGTAAGATGAAAAAACTGCAATCAATTTCAGACTGTTGTCATTTCGAAAGTGGTTCGAAAAGTAAAGAAGCGACTTGATCGAAACCCGTGTCGCAGTGGTCGACACTCAATAGCTTATGAGCTAAACATATCACAATATTCCATTCGGCAAATATTGAAAATTGAGCTCGGGGTAAAGCCATTAAGATTCAAAAATATGGAAGAACTTACATCGCAACAAAAAGAAAATGGACTTAAAAGAGCTAAAGAGTTGCTTCGCTTGGCCGAAAGTGGTGATCTGTCGAATTTGGTTTTCTCCGTCTCCGATGAGAAAACATTCGTTGTCCAGCAGCAGTTTGTAAACAAACATAATGATAATGTTTACTTGCCAAAGAGGTCAGCTGAAAATGTGCACCTTCGGTTGGCCACCAGAACTCAAGCACCGGCCATGGTAATGGTGTGGGCCGCCATAACAGCCGATGGTCGCTTTCCGCTTGTATTAATCGACCGTGGTATCAAAATAAATGCCGAATATTAACGCCAAAATATTCTGGAGGATGTATTAAAGTCTTGGGCACGCAAACATTTTGGCTGGTGACCTTGGACATTCCAACAAGACTCAGCATCATCGCACTTAGCATGCGCCATCCAAAATGAGGTTCTTCGCTTCATTTCCATCGCACAACGGCTAATAAAATCTCCGGATACCAATCCGTTGGACTATTGTGTCTGGAGTATTTTGAAAAGCATGGTTGGGACTAAAAATACCAAAGTGTCCATCACCTCAAGCAAGAGCTTCACCGGGAATGGGCCAAATTACCGCAGGACCAATCCCTTTAAAGGAAGTTTTTAACCATTCAGGAAAAGGACTAAAAAGAACCCTCGTAGACTCGCTTGACGGTTAAAACATTGGTCCGACATTTTCTCTGTATTTTTATCTGCAATATTGCCGAAGATACTATATAACTAAAACGCACGGATTTCGAGAAATCTTAATCCGAAGGGGAAACTGCCCCCTCTATTTAGGTTACTTTGCGATGTAAACTTTCAAAACGCCGACACACCTGTCTTCTTTTTTTACCTCTAATTTCATAATCTGCTGGATTTTCTCCGTAATTATTTTTTTGTCGCACAGTTTTATTTTTTGAAGTCCTCACTTACCCCCGCTTGCCGGTAGATAATTTTCAAATCCTCATGGAAGCCATTGATGTCATAGTTCCTCTTCAACTCAATTTGCATGCATTTGTATTCGTTGACATGGGCGGCCAATTTCGTCAACGATTGCTTTCCCATACCAGCCACTCCAACCAGAAGACCATTTCCTCGATCACTTCTCAGCAGGCGAGCCAGCCGCACCGTATGTTCCAAGGCATCTTGAAACAAAATCAAATGCATCCTCTTACCCGTCATGGTGTTATAATCCTCCACATAATCCATAAGGATACTTTCCAGTTTGCTATGATCCTTAATCTCTTCATAGATACGTTCCGAACGGGCCTTGCCAAAAACCATAAAATCTCCAAACAGTATTGGTGGCTCTTCATCGCGGCAGACTTCTTTGTTGAAATGTTTCAGACACACTTCGTGCATGATTCGCTTAAAGAGTCTACGATCATCATCGTTGATCAGACGATCATGGAAGACCCGCGTCGTCTCGTGATAGAAGAGACGTAAAATTTGCATTTCCATGTTGTAGTGGAGGTTGCTGGCCTGCAGAATACCCTGGATGCATTTGGAGAGATCTCGTAAATTGAAGATGTAATGTGACTTATCGGGGGTGGGTAACATTTCCTGGGCAATGCGCATGTACACATCAACACAGGCATTGACAATTGGCTCGGACAAGGGGCGTATGGTGGAGGAGAAACTGCTTAGGAAGCTGTGGCGGAAAAAAATTAGGTTAATTTTAAAATTGTAGATCCCCAAAATACTCACCCTGTCAAAATGCCATTGAAAATGGTGGTCAATGTCTCATCATTGGGTTTCGGCAGGGCAAACAGCGCAAAATGCCTTACAAAGCGTGGTGTCAAAGGATTACGGCCACCACCCGGTGGAGCACAGGCACAGCCGAGGACCACATCAACAATTTCCTTCCAAAAGAGCTTTTCACGATCATAGAAACCTTGAAAGTCCAGAAATTGTCTGAAAATGGAAACATATTTTTTAGGCAGAGCACAGATTTTCCCTTCTTCACTCGGAAGCGAAACTTGCTCAGGAGCAGAATTGCTCGAAGAGAGGGAGTTTTTTACGAAGTCTACTCTCCACGCATTTGTTTTGTGTGGGAGCACTCCCGAGCCACTCCTGTTTGAAATTTGAGAGTGAGAGCAGCATCGCTTTAAATTGAGCAGGAGTTTCTTCTAAGAGTGTAAATGAGTGGAAAGAGGAAGAGGGGAAGAATTGAGAGACCATCACCCGGTGGAGCACAGGCACAGCCGAGGACCACATCAACAATTTCTTTCCAAAAGAGTTTTTCACGATCGTAGAAACCTTGCAAGTCCGGAAATTTTCTGAAAATTGAAACATATTTTTTATGCAGAGCACAGATTTGCTCTTTTTCACTCGGAAGCGAAACTTGCTCACGAGCAGGATTGCTCGAAGAGAGGGAGTTTTTTCGACGTCTACTCTCCACGCATTTGTTTTGTGTGGGAGGACTCCCGAGCCACTCCCGTTTGAAAGGTGAGAGTGAGAGCAGAATTGCTTTAAATTGAACAGGAGTTTCCTCTAAGAGTGTAAATGAGTGGAAAGAGGAAGAGGGGAAGAATTGAGAGACCACCACCCGGTGGAGTACAGGCACAGCCGAGGACCACAGAAACAATTTTTTTTCCAAAAGAGTTTTTTACGATCGTAGAAACCTTAGGAGGTCCAGAAATTGTCTGAAAATGGAAACATATTTTTATGCAGAGCACAGATTTGCTTTTTTACCATCGGAAGCGAAACTTGCTCAGGATCAGAATTGCTCGAAGAGTGAAAGTTTTTTCGAAGTCTACTCTCCACGCATTTGTTTTGTGTGGGAGCACATCCGAGCCACTCCTGTTTGAAATGTGATAGTGAGAGCAGAATTGCCCTAAATTGAGCAGGAGTACACTCACTGAATGGAAAGAGGAAGAGGGGAAGAATCGTGAATACATGATCAGTAAGAGAAGATTCTGCCCGAATTTGGCTCTCACTCACAAACGAGGAAAATAAGCTCACTCGTATTCCAACGTCATCAAAAAATTGAGTGTGCTCCATTTTTTTCTGCTCCCAGGAGAGCACTCACTCGAATTGACACAGAGAGTGAAATTTACTCGAATTTGAGCGAGTGCTCTCCTGGGAGCAGACAAAAATTATGTGAACTCAGATGTTATCCGAAGGTCTGGTTTTATTATTCTCAAATATTTTTATCCTAATCGCAGTTACATACCTCAACAGCTCAATGGCCGGTTGACTGCCATACGTATCCAATTTGGGCATATTCACATCATCGATGAACACAATTACCGACTTCCCAATCGGTGCTCCCAGCTGTGTGCGTTTACGTTTCTCCAGTGGTCCTTCGATCATTTCTTGGGTTCGCGCGCTGCTAGTTTGAGCGGAAAAATTAATCTGCACCGGCACAATATTGCCTTGGGATAATTTTTTCAACGTAGATACCGCCAGTACGGTTTTGCCCACTCCCGTCTCGCCTGTGAACATGACGGGATATTTTCGTTGAAATAGTAAGTCGGAGATGTAGCTGAAAGTGGAAGAAGATTCAAAGGAATTTTTAAGCTAAGTCCTTAGTAGGAAACACGGGAAAATTATGGGTATATGGGTGTATTTGTGATCTCGGCTAGAAGTAAATATGGCCGAGGCGAAGCTTAAGTTTATCTGATATACGTAGTTTGGATGCTAACATAGATTTACTCGTTTTTACTCGGGAGTGGGAGTGTTATTCCATTCCTTCTTTTCCCTTCCATCTCCGATTTTGATTTGCTGAAAATGCTGAGCTTCCTTTGGTCGCTTGAAACGGAGGTCATATATTTTCGAATGGCTTCGGCCAACATACCCTATTACTATGAATATTTGGGAGCCGGAGGTTCTCCTAAACGATTGTTGCTACTTGTGTTTAATGGGTGCCATACAAATGGACTTGGGTGGCGCTCAAGCGGGTCCAACAGGGACGGGAAAAACTGAGACCACCAAGGATCTGGGCAAATCTGTGGCAACACATCCGTGTGGTTTTTAATTGTCCGGACGGTTGGATTTCATGATGATGGGAAGGTCTTTTTTTCTTTTGGGGCTTCCTCTTCATGACAGAGGTGGGGGAACCGATCATTACACCTCAAATAGTAGCTATTCCTTAAAATTCCTAATAGCAATAGCCTTTCATGTAATTTTTTCTGGAGAACTCACCCATATTTCGTGGTATCCACCGTGGGTACTTGCATATCGAAATATTTATCTTCCGGATTAAAGACGAATTCATCAATGATACTGGACCAAGATTCCCAGCTACGGCTGGTCATGTTAATGCGATAGTCCCACAATGAAGCATCATCTGGCAAACTGGAAAGGAGGTCAAAAATTAAAATTTAATTCATTTTGAATTTCCACAACTCACTCCAAAGGACCCATGGCTTGGCGAATCAATTGCTCAAAAACGAGTTTTTCCTTATCCCTAAAATTAGAGCCCTGAGACCATAGGACACACCAAACAAACATTTTCTTGAGCAACGCCTGATAGTCTCTTTCCTCCACATCGTGCCAGCGTATCATTTCAATTAGCGAAGAGAGTAATTCCAAGCATAGGCGTACCTTGGAGCTGGTCACTTGATGTATGACAAAGGAGCCATGCTTTTTGGCCACTTCCAGGAGAGTCGCAAAATGCAAACTAAATAATTGGTCGAGGTATTCCAGAGGTTTGTTGGGTATTTGTTTTTGTATATCTCCCATCTTCCACGAATCGAGTAGGGGTTGCCATCCCAAATCTTCGGGATCAACATAGACCATACCACAACGGGATACAGTGGCGGGAGAGGCCTGTACCAGATCTTGTACCTCGAAAACCATGTGGACCCAGGCGGTGAGTTTTATGCGCTCCGAATTGGCCAGGCACAGCATTTTATTGTCATCCAGTACGGTGTTGAGATTTTCAATCCAAACAGCATCCACGGGGCCGTCATTGACAATCCATTGATGGATTTCCTCTGGAAGATCAAAAATTGGAGGATATTATTTCCAAAAAAAATATATATAATAAATTCTCACCCTCCACATTGACTGCAGTACGCACTGCCAATCCCAGGAGACCATCCTGCCATTCCAGGGTTTTGGGATCCACATAACCATACAGCTCATTCATGGAAACTGCCTTGGGATTCATGCATTGTATGTTTACGGGCCGGAAATTGGCACCCTCCACCCCTTGTTCATATAAATGACCCAGAGCCTGTTCCAGGGCATGCAGGACCGTGGATTTCCCACCACCTGTGGGACCCACCAGCATTACACCCCAGCGAACACACATTGTCTCATAAAGTTGTATACATTTCCTCAAGGTGGCCTGGACCGCCTGTAAATTCCTCTCCCTTAAATTGAATACCAAACTCTCCTCCAACTGAGGATGTGAGGAGTCTGGCAACTCCACTCCCGGAAATAAATCACTGAGTATACCCAAAAAGAGCACTGCATCATCGGCCAAGAACTTGGGTATATTTGAGTCCCTCAGGGCGGCAATAAGGGTAATATCTTCCCTCTGATCTGGGGCTGCCCGCTTCAGAGAGCCAGCCATTACCAAAACTGATTTAACCGCCCTCATACCAAAATCATAGTGATTTTGCTGACTCAGCTGCTCGGAGCAAAGTTTGTACATTTGCACCATTTTATGGGCCAAACTCTTAGGGTCCTCAAAGCCCTCGGAATATAAAATGACCTCGGCAATTAAGGCATAATCGGGGACCATCATGGATATTGGGCGGAATAGGGCTTTCAAGTTATCGGGGAGTTCTGTGCGTCCAGCATAGCCGGGGTTCATGGTAATGAAAACGGCACAGGATTTGCTGAGCTTTATTTCACGGCCCTCGAAAATGAATCTGCAAAATATTACTGATTTTTTTACCACCTCAAATCTTTTTGTAGGATCTCCAAACTTACCTCTTGGCATTCACCACCTTGGCATTGCGTATTGTAATCAATTGCTGAGCAATAACCGACAGCACCTCGATATCAATGCGATTGAATTCATCAAAGCAGCACCAGGCTCCACATTGGGCCAGGCCGGAGAAAAATCTTCCCATCATTTTGTAATCCAAACCATCGGAGCAATTAAAGACCACACACTGCTTGGCCACCGATTTGGCCAGATCTTTGGTGGTCTCTGTTTTTCCCGTTCCCGCTGGACCCGCTGGCGCACCACCCAAATCCATTTGTATGGCACCCATTAAACACAAATAGCAACGATCGGTTAGGGGTGTCAGAACCAAAACACCTCCGGCTCCCAAATATTCATAGTAATACGGTATGTTGGCCGAAGCCATGCGAGAGTAGATTGCCTCCGTTTCAATTGACCAATAGAAACGCAGCATTTTTAGCCAATCAAAATCGGAGCTGGAATGGGGAAAAGGGAGTGAGAGTGAGGGAAATGGAAGAAGGGAGGGAAACAGTGTAATAGACTGTGAACAACAATCCTTATCCCAATCTAAATTTTGTTCCTTTCATTTTTGGAGAGTTTTCGAACGCTCTTTGGTCAAATCATGGCTCAAGGATCTCGAACGTTAGAGGCGAGAGAAACATTTCCAAAAGAAGTTATAATTTTCCAAAAGAAGTCATGAGAAACTCCCAAATCCCTTTTACTTACGATTTCACAACCTGTTTTTCAATCAGCAGCGACACCGAATCCTTGGCATGTACATCAATGGTTATCAATGCGGTCAGTACCTTCCTCACCAAACTGCTAATATTCTGCCGCGTGAGAGAAGCCAAGGCCGCTAGATTTTTTAAACATTTCTTTTCGAATAATTTCATCTCTTGCATAACCTTCTCTTCCGACCATTTTGGATTATCCAAAATATAATGAATATCGGCAGCCCATTGCTGTTGGGAAATGGTCAAGGCCACTTGATTGGGATGATCTTGAAACCATTCATCACGTTGCTTGTGCGGATAACATTGATAGCCAAAACGCATGGCTCTCTTCACCGAGGCGAACATACCCTCCTCGACTTTACTTAACCATTCTTCGACAGCTCCTCGAGCCTTGAGACCTTTTTGGAAAAGTAATTTTTCTCCCTCAGGAGATATGAAGGCCAAGATGTCATTGGTCGCCACGGTGCGTCCACTGCCATCACCCACATCTTTTTGGCCGAATTCCAGGCGATGTATGGCATCGAAACATTTACGTAAGTGGGGTTGTACGGTTTGGGGAATACGTGTTTGGGCCAGGATTTCCAACAGCTCATCGTTGGAGAGGAAATAGAATCTAAAACACGAGAGGGGGGGGGGGGGGGGGGTATTATGTGGTGTGGTGGATAAATTTTAGAAATTCCTACCTTGGAAACACAACCCTTTTAACCTCCAAATAGGCCTCCAGACCCCTTGTGATTAAATCCAAATTGCGATTATTTTCCAATAAAATATCATAGTTATCCTTGGAGGACATAACCGGCAGCGCCAGAGATACCTTTTTGGCCGTGCGCACCATTTCCTTGAAACTTTTATCCACAGCAAAGAACATTTTGGCCTCCTGCGGCAATTGCCGCTGGATATCAGGTGAGGCAAAAATGGCCTCCAAATAAATCCACGACGTTTGGCAATCCATCCAGACCTCTAGGGGATGGAAAGAGACTTAAATAATTATTTCAAAGAAAATATAGAAAATAACCCCCACCCAAGGTCTTGCCAAACTGTTCCAAGGCCCCGATCCATTCATCGACTTTATTCTTAATGGGCGTTACATATTTCGAGGCAGCAATGGTATTAATGTTGACATTGGAATCATCCAGAATTGTCTGCAATTCCTCGGTGCCAGCCAATATGAAAACATCCTTCTGATCATGATGACAGACCACGGAGAGTTCTTGTTCCTTCCACACCGCTTCCAGAGATTTTAACATATTTTCCAATTGGGCCTCGCCGGTGGCTTGCGATGAGATTTCCATTAAGGAATTGGCAATTTCCTCATCAAAGGCATGGCACTCTTCATAGGCGGAGAGGAGGATGCCCTCTTCTTGGAAGAATTTGCGGCCCAAAATTGTTTCAACCTCACTCCAGTGGCGCTAAGTGGCAGAGAAGACAAGAGAACCAAAATAAAAGGAATTTGAATTAAAGAGAGAGAGAGAGATATAGAGAGAGATTTGCACCACTTACCGCCCTAAAATTGGGATTCCTCAGATAACCAATAACCGGTAGCTTCACCTTAAAATTCTCCGCAGCCTGCTTCAGCTCAGGCACAATATTATTTGCCGGTAAATATTTTTCATATTGCATACAATTCTTAATGGTTTTTATGGTCAGGTCCGTCAGCTCATTAACGACAAGTTGATTGAAATCCATCAGGATCCAACGATAATAGGCATCCTCCCATTCGTTGACAGAATTGTGTAGACTTTGTCGTAACTTAATTTCCGTAAAGGCCATATCCATTTCCGTGTACATGGTAATATCGATTTTAAACTCTTTTTGATAGCGTATATATTCGGCAGCGTGTTCGTGCAAACGTTCGAGGCGTTCCAAAAGATCCTTGAGCCGTGATTTGACCAAAGAACGTTCGGAATCTCTCTAAAGTGAAAATAATCAAATTTAGATTGGGATGAGGATAGTAAGCCACAGTCTATTACACTGGGTAACAGAGAAAATAATTAGAGGGAAGTCCAGCGGAATATGAGAGAAGAACAAAAAAAAAAAAAGAAAAAAAAAGACACAACTATACAGGGAGAGATGAAAAAACTGCAACCAACTTCAGACTGCTGTCATTTCTAAGCCACTTGTCCGACAGCTGTTAAAATTATTCCAGTGACAGCTTATTATATTGTCTAGAAGCGTACAAAAGTATTTTGGTGAGAATTTTCCAGAAAAAAAGACTTATTCGTGACAGAATTCAAGCGTGATAGTGTGATTTCTTTATGTTTGGCTGGAGAACCACAAGCGGCTACTGTTAGAGCACTCCAGCATTTAAATATGAATAAATCTTTTGTGTCTCGTACAACCGCTCCGTGATACCGTTACGGATAAAAAACAGCAACATCACTAGAAATGGTTCGAAAAGTAAAGGAGCTACTTGATCGAAACCCTCGTCGCAGTGGCCGAAAAATAGTTCTTGAGCTGAACATATGGCAAAATGCTATTAGGCAAATATTGAAAAATGAGCTCAGGGTAAAGCCATTGCAATTCCAAAAAGTGCAAGAACTTACACCGCAACAGAAAGAAAATAGGCTCAAAAGAGTTAAAGAGTTGCCTCGCTTGGGCGAAAGTGGTAATCTGCCGAATTTGGTTTTCTCCGTCTACGAGGAGAAAACATTCGTTGTCCAGCAGTTTGTAAACAAACAAAATCAAAATGATCGTGTTTACTTGAGGTCAGCTGAAAACGTGCATCTTCGGTTGGCCAACAGAACTCAGTGTCGGCCATGGTGATAGTGTGGGCCGCCATAACAGCCGATGGTCGCTCTCCGCTCGTATTAATCGACCGTGGCATTAGAATAAATGACGAATATTATAGCGAAAATACTTTAAAGCCTTGGGCACGCAAAAATTTTGGCCGCAGGCCTTGGACATTCCAACAGTACTCAGCACCATCGCACTCAGCACGCGCCACCCAAGAATGGTTACAAATTGAGGTTCCTCGCTTCATTTCCAGCGCACAATGGCCACAAAAATCTCCGGATATCAATCCGTTGAACTATTGTGTCTAGAATATTTTGGAAAGCAAGGTTGGCACTAAAAAATACCAAAGTGTCGATCACCTCAAGCAAGCGCTTCGCCGGGAATGGTCCAAAATACCGCAGAGCAACATTCGGGCAGCGTGTGACCGTGCATTTCCGACATTTTTTGCTTTCATTAAATACAATTTTAAAAAAATGTAGTTTTTTTGTATCTCACCCTGTATGAACTAAAAATGCAGAAATATTAAATTAAATAGGTGCAACAATTGGGCGCCACATCCTTTTACTACTCCCATTAAGAAAACTATGCGACATATTTCAATTTTTCCAATAATTACGGAGAAAATCCAGCAGGTTATGAGAGTAGAACCCAAAAAAAAGAAGAAGAAAAAGACACGTAACTATATGAACCAAAAATGCATACGTATTAATTTAAAGAGCTGCAACAGTTGGGCGCCACATCATTTTATTACTCCCATTAATAACACTGGGCGCCAAATTTAATTTTTTTCAATAATTACGGAGAAAATTCAGCAGGTTATGAGAGTAGAACTAAAAAAGGAGAAGAAGACATGTAAAAATATGAACGAAAATGCCAAAGTATTGATTTAAGAGCGGCAACAGTTGGGCGCCACAGCTTTTTATTACTCCCATTAATAACGCTGTGCGACAAATTTTAATTTTTTCAATAACTACGGGGAAAATCCAGCAGGTTATGAGAGTAGAACCCAAAAAAAAAAGAAGAAGAAGACACGTAATTATATAAACCAAAAATGCATGAGTTATAATTTAAAGAGGCGCAACAGTTGGGCGCCACATCCTTTTAATAGTCTCAGTAATAACACTGGGCGATAAATTTAAATTTTTTCAATAATAACGGGGAAAATTCAGCAGATTAAGAGAGTGGAACTAAAAAAAAGAAGACACATGTATAGACGTTTTGAAAGTTTACATCGCAAAGTAACCTAAATAGAGGGGGCATGTTCCCACCTCTTCCAAACTTTTGAAAATGTTCGAAATAAGATTCCTTGAAAACCGTACATTTTAGGTATACAGTGTCTTCGGCAATATTGCAGGTAAAAATACGGAGAATATTTTGGTTTGAATTTTTAACCCTCGAGCGAGTTAAAAAAGGGGTCTTTTTGGGCCTTTTTTGAAATAATAGTTAAAAACTCCCCTTAAACGGAATGGTAGCAAGTCAAAATATTCCACAAAATTATTTGTCATGAAATTCTACTATGGGTCCTATAAGACATGAAGCTTCTAAAACTTACCCAAACACCAGAAATTCATATATTTTAAAAACACATTTTAGGGTTAAAGCCGTACTTTGTGTGAGTTTGGGCAAAAATCTCCAACAAATCATCATTTTAGAAGAATGACGTCAGAGACAAAAACATTCTTCATCAAATTTCACTATAAGTCATTAAAGAACAGAAATCTGTATTTTCATTAAATATCAAAAAAAAAAAAAAAAAAATATTTGCATAAATATTCCCAATAAAAAACTCAAAAAAATTATTCCCTATTTTTTTTACCAATTTTTTCTCGAACTTTTTTTTGCCTGAAAGTTTCATAAAGTATACAATGAAAATACGGATTTTGTTTCTTCGGTGACTTATAGTGAAATTTGATAAAGAATATTTTTGTCTCTGACGCCATCCTTCTAAAATGATGCATTATTGGAGATTTTTGCCCAAACTCAGAAAAAGAACGGCTTTAACCCTAAAATGTGTTTTTAATATAGGTGAATTCCTGACGTTTAGGTAAGACTTAGATTTTTGACGTCTTCTAGGACCTATAGTAGAATTTTATGACAAATAATTTTGTAGAATATTTAGACTTGCTATGATCCCGTTTAAAGGGATTTTTTAGCCATATTTTTAAAAAGGGACCAAAAAGACCCCTTTCTTTGCTCGCTTGAGGGTTACACATTTTTAGCAAAATATTCTCCGTATTTTTATCTGCAACATTGCCAAAGATAATATATACCTAAAATGCACGGATTCCGAGGAATCTTATTTCGAAGATTTTCAAAATTGTGGAAGAGGGGGGAACTTGTCCCCTCTATTTAGGTTACTTTTCCGATGTAAACTTTCAAAATGCCAATATTTGTGCCTTCTATTTTTGAGCTCTTCTTTCATACCAAAATATTATCCGTATTTTTATCTGCGTCATCCTTCTAAAATGATGCATTATTGTAGATTTTTGCCCAAACTCAGAAAAAGAACGGCTTTAACCCTAAAATGTGTTTTTAATATAGGTCAATTCCTGGCTTTTAGGTAAGTCTTAGATTTTTGACGTCTTCTAGTACCTATAGTAGAATTTTATGACAAATAATTTTGTAGAATATTTTGACTTGCTATGATTCCGTTTAAAGGGGGTTTTTAGCCATATTTTGAAAAAAGGGACCAAAAAGACTCCTTTCTCTGCCCGCTTGAGGGCTACAATTTTTTACCGAAATATTCTCCGTATTTTTATCTGCAACATTGCCGAAGACACTATAAACCTAAAGTGTACGGATTCCGAGGAATCTTATTTCGAAAATTTTCAAAATTGTGGAAGAGGGGGGGAACGTGTCTCCTCTATTTAGGTTACTTTGCGATGTGAGCTTTCAAAATGCCGATATAGGTACATTCTATTAGGTCTTCTTTTATATACTCCGTATTTTTATCTGCGACATTGCCGAAGATACTACAGGGTTGCCCATTTTCGACGGACCCATGACTCTTTGGGCCCATTCCAATCGACGAGGCTTGTCCGCCCATTCAAAGGCCATCTATGTTTAGCCAATAAAACCCAAACCCCCTCCACCCCCATTACTTACATCAATTAAAAATGGATCCTGGACTTCCAAATAGATTTCATGAGTCTCTTCAAATATCAGCTGAATATCTTCATTCATTTTCTCCTCCAGCTGTTTGACAAATTCCGGCCTCTTCGCTTGGATCTCCTTTAGCTTATCATTTGTGCGATTAACCAAATCTTCACAATCCATATAGTCTTCCTTGCGTTCATCATCAATGGGTATGGCAAAGTCTTTGATGATCATGAAGACATCATGAGCATAATCGACATCGGCAAAGAGACTTTGCATTTCCTCATCGACAACATCCAAAAATCGTATGTGAGAGACAATTTCCAAGGTCGTTATGGGTTCGGCCGTAATGCGTCCCGACAAATCATTTGTGGCCTCATTGATGCGTTCCACCTCTTCGGTGGCCAATCTGGAAGGGAAATTCTTTTTAGAACCACATTTCTTTGAAATTTGTCCTGGAGAAAGAACTTACTTGGGCAAATAATTGGCCAAGACATTTTGCAATTTTATGCAAACCGGGGTCACAGTGTCCTTAAAACTGCCCTGATTCAGTTTCAGCAGGCCCAGGTGTACCGTGGAGAGTATGCCATCCAAGGCCTTGACATTGTTGCAATAACGTTCACAGTAGGCCCTCAGTTTGCCCAAATCTGAATAAATTTAATAATTTTTTATTTTTTTATTATCAACTTCTCTCCTAAATCCCCTTCTTACCCCTTTCCGTTTTCAAAATATTCGGATCGGTTTGGGTGTCTATTTCATAATTATTGCGTATCGTTTCAAATCTCAGAGTATAAATTTCCGCTTTCTCATAGGCCGTTCTAATGTAGGAGTATAATATTTTCCTGCCAGGAAAAGGAAACAAATATCAAATCAAATATCCATCAACAAATGTCCTTCGCCGGAATTACAAAAAATGAGAAATATTTCAAATGAAAACAATTTTATTTTTTGTGTTATTTCATTTTTTGTTAAGGACCCGAGTAAAACTCACCGATTAACTTGAAATTCTTGATCTGTTCTCAAGAGAAAATTCAAATCGGGCGCCACTCCGGATAATCGTTCTTCTTGCCGTCCCATAATTGAGGGTCTAAAAAGTGAATGATTTATTTTGCATAAAAATCACATTTGATATTGGAAAAAAACTCACTCTGTAAACTGTGTATAGGTTTTGTCATCGGTGAAATTCTCAATTTCCATAACAGTTTCCAAGATTAGAGTTGAAATTCGGGTGAAAATGTGCTTCATTACTTCTCTGAAAAATAAAAAAATAAATAAAAATTCAGAAAAATACCAATTAAATCACAAATAGTTTATTATGGATTTATAAGTCCTTAAAAAATATTTAAAACAAATCTAGGATCATAAGATCTAAAAAAGTGCGTCAAAAAAAAAAAAAAAAAAAATGAGGTCTTGAGGTATTTTTAAAGAAAAAAATATTTTTTACGTTATTGGCAGATCTCGGAAAAATAAATTTTAAACTCCATGGTGCAATAGGATAAATCATTACAATAAATTCTATATTCAATATACCTTTAAAAAATTAAAAAAAATACGATTGGTGGAAAATATTTTTAAGCATGTAAAAAGCAGTAAGTTCGGCCGGGCCAAGCTTTGAATACCCTACACCATTTAGAACGAATTTGCCATATTCAAATTCGAAACTTGAAATAAACGGTGAATAATGTAGCCAAAATCATCAAAATACCGTAGATAGGGAGGTACCGTTATATGGGGGCTATACAAAGACGTGGACCTGCACAGACAATCTCCTGTCATAGGCTGTAGTATCCACTACGAACTTCAAATGCGGAATTTGAAACAATTTCTGTAAATAATGTCGCTAAAATCATCAAAATACCGAAAATCGGGGGTACCGTTATATGGTGGCTAGACGAAGACTTCGGCCTGCACCGACAATTTTCTGTCATAGGCTGGAGTATCTATTACGAACTTCAAATACCAAATTTGAAACTATTCCGGTGAATAATGTCGCTAAAATCATCAAAATACCTAATATCGGGAGGTACCGTTATATGGACCTACATGGCCCATTTTCAATACCAAAAGTCCTGCATACATAATACACATTTGAATAAAATTTTATCAACCTACTTTATTTCGTTCTGAAGCTAGAGTGATTTCCACAGACGGTAGGACGGACAGACGGGCGAACATTGATAAATCGACATAGAATTTTATGCTGATCAAGAATATAAATACTTTGTGGGGTCTAAAATGTATATTTCGAGGTATTACAAACGGAATGACAAACTTCAATACTATGGTAAAGGGTATAAAAAAGGTGTGAAGAAAAATCTGGGATATAAAGCCCTAGGAAAAAAATATTCACAAAAACTGGGGTCAAAAGAAAAAAATATTTTTTACGGATCCCGGAAAAATAAATTTTAAACTCCATGGTGCAATAGGTCTTGGATAAATCATTCAAATAAATTCCATGTTCAATAAACCTTTCAAAAATTAAAAAAAAAATTACGATTGGTGGTCTTTTGGAAAAATATTTAAAAAAAAAAATGCAGGTTCTGTTACTGCCTTGGAATTTGTTTTAATTTGCCAGGGTAATTTTTTTTTGGTATTAAAAAAAATCCACAAAACTTAGTTCTCCAGATTTTTACTATTACAAGATCATTTAAAATATGGAGAAATTATTTGATTTTTATACCCTCCTGCATCCTATGGAGGGTATATTAACTTTGTCATTCCGTTTGTAACTCCTCGAAATATTTATAATAGGCCCTACAAAGTATATATATTCTGTATTACCGTAAAATTCTAAGACGATCTAGCGATGTCCGTCTGTCTGGCTGTTGTAATCACCCTATCTTTCGAACGAATTGAGATATAAGGCTAAAATTTTGCATACATGCATAGTTTACCAGTAGGCAGGATAAGTTCGTAAATGGGCCATGTCGGTCCATGTTTTCGTCTACCCCCCATATAACGGTAGCTCCCGTTATTCGATATTTTGATTAACGACATTATTAACCGGAGTTGTTTAAAATTTGGTATATGAAGTTTGCTATGGATACTACATCCTGACACAGAAAATGTGCCATGCAGATCCACGTCTTCGTATAGCCTCCATATAATGGCACCTCCCGATATTCGGTATTTTGAGGATTTTGGCGACATTATTTACCGGAATCAAATTTCATATTTAAAGTTCGAAATGGGTACTACAGCCTATGACAAACATTTTTGTATGCAGGTCCATGTCTTCGTATAGCCCCCACATAAAGGTACCTCCCGATATTCGGTATTTTGATGATTTCAGCAGCGTTATTCACCGGAATCGTTTCAAATTTCGTATTGGGAGATCTTAATGGTTACTACACCCTTCGTATAACCCCTATATTACGGTACCTCTCGATACTCGGTATTCCGTTATTCAACGGAATTGCAACAAATTTCGTATTTAAAGTTCGTAATAGGTACTACAGTATATGACAAAAAATCGTATGTAGGTTCACGTTTTCGTTTTGGGATGTACCAAGTCTTGAATGGAATAGGATGTCAATTTCGTTTTTTATGAGCTTCATGGATATTCAACATTTTGAGCCTTTGTGGGGGAGGTACCAGAAGGAATGGACCGATATATTCCATATTCACAACGGATCTTTTGTTAGTGGAAATAATGTTATGTGTGAAATATAATGATAACCTGATGCTTATTTCTGATTTTATAAACATTTTGGTTCTTTAAAACGTTGACCCTTTGTGGTGGAGGTACCAGAAGGAATGGTCCGATCTCTACCATTTTTTTAATGATAGAAATATTCAGATGTGCCAAGTCTAAACGGAATCCGTTTTATGAGCTTAATGGATATTCAAAATTTCGACCTTTTGTGGGGGAGGACCAGAAGGAGTAGACAGATATATTCCATCTTAACACCAGACCTTGGGTTAATATAAATATTGGGATGTGTGACATTTGAAGACAATGGGACTCTTACATCTCTTTTTTTGAGAGTTGTAATTATTCAAAATTCTCACCAGACCTAGCACTGAACAAATATTATCCTTTCTCTTTCTGTGCAAAAAAATATTTTTTTTTGAAAATTTTGACCTTTTGTGGGGGAGGTACCAGAAGGAGTAGACCGATATTGCTTATCTCCGAACTCGATCTAACTCTGACAATAATATTACGATGTATCAAGTTTGGACCAAATCGGATACTCCCTTCGAGAGTTATCGTGGGCACCAGCCAGACAGACAGATGGACGGACATCACTAGATCGACTCCAAATGTCCTAAACGGGTTTGTTCCAAAGAGACTTAGGGTCTAAAACCGCAATTTCGACTAGGCACTTTTTGACAGTATCAAATGATGTATACCCTCTGTAGCCATATGCCTGAGGGTATAAAAATGTAATAATTATGGCGTTTGACTTTTTTGCATTTTTTTATCTCACCCTGTATAATAACCTGTATACACACTGTTATGTATGTTGGGTGTAAATGGTATTAGAACATCGAAGTCGTGGAAAAGTATTCTTCATAAAAACCCTTCCCAGTTATTCATAAAAAATCCAAGCTAAGAAAGTCCTGGGAAAAAATTGAGTGCTTCTCCATACGATCTACTTACTCAGATGGTTCGATTTCAATACGATCGGGTAACAAATGCAATGTGGTCACAAAGAAAGGACTCTAAAAAGGATAATAGATTCATCTAAACATATCGAATTATTTAGGTAATTTATAAATACTTGAGGAACATCGGCTGGTCTTTCAGGTTCCAATTGTTCGTTCAAGGTTAAGTTTTCCTGCAACACCTCCTTCGATGGTCCCAAGGCATCGTGAATGTTCAAGGCCTTAGCCAAATCCCGAAAACTATTCACAGTGACTTTGTGCAGCATGTTGTACATCATGTGGTCGCAGTAGCTCAGGAAGCTGTAGAAGAAAATTATCTTACCTTATTCGCTAACTTACATTTCCAAAAGGAGATTTCCTTACTTGGCCCAAAATATGTAAACTTTATAGGAAAAAAAATCGAAACTTACTTGGAAAGTATTTTACAAAAACTCTTCTTCTTGGCCCGATCCATAAAGCTCATGGCATCGCGCATTTTCTTTATCGATGGATAATGATTGACTTCATCATCGGCAAAGAACCCATTGGCAATTATGGCATTCAGGCAGGCATCATCTAAGGAATCAATTTGAGAATATAAATTAGGGAACTGTGAAATATTATTTGCATCTACTTACATAGGTTCTTTCTCGTCCTTTCCCGAAAATCTCGAAATGTTACATTTAACCTTTCATAGATTTTCATTTGTATCTCCAGAAAATAGAAGGGATGCCAATCTTCAATGACTATGGAAAGGAAGAAAAAAGACAATATTAAATCTTAAGTGGGGTCCAAAGAAAGGTCATTCAGTCCTCTATCCATAGAAGAGTTACCTCAGCTCAGCTATTAAAACGACCCGGATGTCGGTGAAAACATGACCTTTAGTTAACAAAAAAAGGCGACCTTCGGATCGTCTATAAACACTCTCTTCTGGTTGTCTAAAAATACTCCCTTCAAACTCAGACGACGTTCAGAGATCGTCTATAGGAAGACGACCTTCAGAGATCGTCTATAAGAAGACGACCTTCAGAGATCGTCCATAAGAAGACGACCTGCAGAGATCGTCTATAAGAAGACGACCTTCAGAGATCGTCTATAAGAAGACGACCTTCAGCTCGTCTATAAGAAGACGACTTTCAGAGATCGTCTATAAGAAGAGGACCTTCAGCTCGTCTATAAGAAGACGACCTTCAGAGATCGTCTATAAGAAGACGATCTTCGTCTATAGGAGATGACCTCCACCTTAGCTCGTCTATAAGAGACGACCTCCACTTCAGCTCGTCTATAGGAAACGACCTCCACTTCAGCTCGTCTATAGGAGACGACCTCCACTTCAGCTCGTCTATGGGAGACGACCTCCACTTCAGCTCGTCTATAAGAGACGACCTTCAATTTAGCTCGTCTATAGGAGATGACCTCCACTTTAGCTCGTCTATAAGAGACGACCTTCACTTCAGCTCGTCTTGTCTTCCACAAAGACGAACTTCGGCTCATCTAAACACCCGACCATCTTTTGCTCATCTATGTAGACGACCTTCTATAGCTCGTCCATAAAGACGATCTTCTTTAGCTGGTCTATGAAGACCCTCTTCGGGTCGTGTATAAAGACTATCTTCTGGTCGTCTATAAAGACTCTCTTCTGTTCGTCTATAAAGGCTCTCTTGTGGTTGTCTATAAAAACTCTCCTCTGGTCATCGATGAAGAGTCTCTTGTGGTCGTCTATGTAGACTCTCTTCCGGTCGTCTATAAAGACTCTCATCAGGTCTATAAAAACTCTCTTCTGGCCATCTTTAAAGACTCTCCTCTCGTCTTCTATAAAAACTGTCATCTGATCCCCATAAAGGCTCTCTCTGGTCGCTCATAAAGTCTCCCTTCTGGTCGTCTATAAAAGACTCTCTCTTCCAGTCGTCTATTAGAACTCTCTTCTGGCCATCTATAAAGCCTCTCTCTCTCTCCGCCGATAATCCACAAGTTTTCTCACTTCTCTTCCACTTACCTGTAACATTGACGAAATTACTCCTCTCCAGCATAACAATCTCCTCCCTCAGCCGAAGTATGGCTCGTGCCAAGTGCGGTATGGCGATAAAAAGATGCTCCTGCAAATGCATGCGAGCCTCCGTCTGCTTCTTCCACTTGACCGTTTTCTCCCACACCTTAAAACCCTTCCATAGCCGAAATACGGCAAATGTACGAATCTTAATGATGCTCAGAAATTGTTGAAACTCCTGTTGCCATTGCAACAGAGGTGTGAAGAAATTCTCCGACAAATGCCAATAGGTTACACCGTGACGACTCATGGTGAAATATAACTGTTTGTTGGGCAACTCGGCCCAGGTGTATTCCTTAAGGCTGTACGGGGTGAAATATTCACTTGTCTTCGGCAACATATAGGTGAGGTAAATGAAGCTGTCATCCTTTTGGGAACGCATCCGCTCCACAAGGACATTCAAGTCGGGTATTAGGGATGCACCGGTTTTAATGCCTTCCTGGCTATTTTGATGTATTTTGTCTTCGAGTTTAGGTTTCTTGTCTTGTCCTCCGGCGTTATCTTTTTTAAACGAAACTGAGGGACGTTTAGATTTTAGTCGTCCACTGGGATTCATAATATCCAGTTGTTTAATCTTTGAGCTCAATTTTTCATTGCTAAACTTGTATGAGGACATTTTCGTATTGAGTTTTTAATTTTTTTTTAATATTTTTTCTTCTCGTTTTCAAAATATTGATGTTGAATTGAAAATAGTTTGAAAATTTATTGACAAACAAATTGAAGTTTTGTCCTAGCAACGTTGTAGTTGCCATCCTGCGAAAATTTGGTTACTAAAACAATCGATTTCAAAATTGTTATATTTGTGTGTTTACAAACAAATCAAACAAGTGGATATTTATAAACAGCAGAAAAAAGTATATTTACCAAAGAACGAGGACACGTTAAAAGCGAGGTCAAGTTTGTCTTTATATATTCACATCGGTCGGAGCTCTATCGACAAAAACAAAAGGATTTTATGAGTGGCCAAAAGTATCGTTTGGAATGATTACTTTATATACGACCTTGAGAACATCAGGGAGTATTTAAATATATTTTCCGGACTACCAGCAATTTTTTAAAAATTTGTAAGGGAAATAGCGGGAGTTTTCAAAATATTTATTCGAAGGGGTGATTTTTTGATATACAAAGTCTAAATTTTGCACACATGTGTGTTTTGCCAATTGGCAGGTTAAGTTCGTAAATGGGCAATGTCTTTCCACCATTTCAGTTTCAAATTTCGTATTTGAAGTTGGCAATAGGTACTGCAAGCTATGACAAAAAATTGCGTACGCAGGTCCACGTCTTCGTATATCCCCCCATATAACGGCACCTCCCAATATTCGTTATGTTGATGATTTTAGCGACATTATAGACCGAAATTGTTACTAATTTCGTATTGGAAGATCATAATGGCTACTTCAATCTTTGACATGAAATTGCGTATACATGCCTACGTCTTCGGGTAGACCCTATATGGTGGTACCACCCAATATTCGGTATTTTGGTCAATTTAGCCACATTATTTAGCGGAATTGTTTCAAATTTCGCATTTGAATATCTTAATAAGTATTACAGCCTATGATAAAAAAATTGTCTATGCAGGCCCACGACTTCGTATTGCTCCCATATAACGTTATCTGTCAGTTTGAGTCAGTTTTGCTGCCCGATGTATACCCTCAGCAATGTCGGATTATTTAAATATATTTTGACTTTTGATATGATTATTTGAACTGTTGACCCTCTGTGGAGTAGGTTCCGAAGGAATCGGCCAATTTTCTCCATTTCGTATCGGTCCCAAATAACTATGATACAAATATTGTTTTATCAGGTTTAGACTATATGGGTTACTTCCTTCACATTGTATGAGATATGTGATAATTTTTAGAAAATGTTAAAATGTACCAGATATAGTCGACCGAAGTATTCCATTTTCATTAGAAGAAAATCGAACATTTATATCCAATTTTCTGCGAAATCATAAATTCCATAATCATCTCAGGTTTCTGGTTGAGAGAAATATTAAGATTTAGCAAGTTGTAAAGAATCTCTGGCTTGTTTCGCAAGTTGTGACAGAAAAAGTATTGAAAATTGTGACTCTTTGTGGGTGAGGTACCAGAAGGGATTAGCAGATAAAAATCACTATAACAACAGATTTTTGTTAGCAAAAATGTGTGTATATGTGCAATTTGAAAAGAGTTGGATGCTTATTTCGCTTTCATTGAGCGTTGTTTTTCAAAAATCTTGAACCTCATGTGGGGCGGGTACCAAAAGGAATGGTTCGTTCTCCATCTTTATGGCATATTTTGTGTTTATGGAGATATTGAGATGTACCAAGTCTAAATGGAATTGGATGCCAATTTCGTTTTTTATGAACTTCATGGATATTCAAAATGTTGACTCTTTGTGGGGGAGGTACCAAAAGGAGTAGGCCAGATATTGGATTGGTAGAAATATTGCAATGTGTGTTATTTTAGGACAATCGAACTGTTACATCACATTTTAAAAGTGTTATAATTATTTAATCCTTTGTGGGTTAGGTATTTGATGGAGTGGACCGATATTGTCCATTTTCGCACCTGACCTAGCACTGTTATGAGGTTTCGCAAAGTTGGAGCAAAATTTCTCTTTCTGTGTAGAAAATTATTTTCTTTGAAAATATTGACATTTTGTCTTAAAGGTAACAGAAGGAGTGGACTAATATTGCTCATCTCCGAACTCGTTCTAAGTTTGACAATAATATTACGATGTACCAAGTTAGAATCAAATCGGATACCCCTTCGAGAGATATCGTGCGCACCAGCCAGCCAGACAGACCAAGTGTACTGAAACGGATTTGGTCTACAGAGACCTAGGGTCTAAACCTGTTTTTGCGATGAGGCACGTTTTGGCCGCATTAAATGATATATATCCTCTCTAGCCATATGGCTGAGGGTATAAAAATGAAGATAGTCATAAACAATGTTAAAATTATAGAGAGGGTCTAAGAGTCCTTATTGGCCACTCTTTAATGAAACGATTTACCCTAAGATAGCTCACTAAAGATAGATCCTAGAATGCTATTTTTTTAATCACTGCTCCAAATCCTTTTCTATAATTTTTCAGGAAAGAGATGTAATTTAAAGAATAAGAATTGATTTTTACTATATTTCTTAAACAAATCAGTTTTCGGTATATTTTTTTATAATTTTTACTCTTTTTCTATTTTGAGGTTCATGTAGTCGTCACTGCATTCTTCTCTTAGATCTTGGTAATGATCGAGGAATTTATAGAGGGTTACGTATTTCCAATGTCATTGGTTGTATTTTCTCTTCAAATGCCTGATAGTATGGGGTTTCGTGGTTACTTCGACTTGAATTCAGTGGCTAGGCTATGGACCAATTAATGACTTAAGTTTTCCGCGTTTTGCCATACATACGGTCTTAAATTTCCCCCATTTTCCAAAGTTTCCACCGACGATTGCATCTATTTCATATCAGATGTTCAAAGCTGCCAGTTAAGCCTTCGCTCTCCCACTGAACATACCCGATAACTTTCCCAAAATATGGCAATACTTTTCTTTTTTCATATCTCCAAACAGCAGGCGAACACTTTAATGGTAAGTATTGTTTTATAAACTTTTATTATCCCCTAAAAGTATCATAAATTCATTCATTTTCTTAAGTAAGGCAATCAAAATAAGCAGGGGCCTAATTACAACTTTCGCTATCGAATGCAGAATGGTATCGACATGAATTACGACCCTAATTTATTGTTGGGATGATTGCATTCGATCGTAATTTAGTATCGATTTTGTTACATTTGAAAATGTCAAATTGGCCATCTTCAAGATCAAACAAAATATGTTGTTAATTATTTCGTGAAAAAGTGAAATTTTGCAAAAATGGAATTGTGCTTTTTTATGTCATCGTCAGATTCAGAAGATGATTTCAATGTAAACATCTTAAGAAAACAAATTCGCCATAAAAGCAATCCTTTATCTTTGGCAGAAAATATGTAAGTACACTCATTTTTATATATATTACAACCGCTGTTATAGTTTTCTTAATTCATTCTTCATTGAAGGTTTAAACATCGCATTCGTGTTCCAAAGGTAGCTTTTGAATATATTTTATCAGAACTGCACTTTACTGGCCATATGTCTATGCTATGCTACCATATGTCTATGTCATAAAATCGGCCAAAATAATTTTTTGCTGGAAGTTTATTTTGTTGGAGTTTGCCCTACAACATCTGAAATATAATAATTATTCAAGTATTTAATATTTTTAAAGAAACTTCCATTTTTTGGAAATTGATGAATGAAATTGTAGTATACGATAAAAAAATATACGCAGGCAAAAATTCGCATGGTTGCATTCGACACTTCCATGTCAAGTACTCGATATCGAACGCCGTCATTCAAAAATAAGATTACGATATTTTAGCTTCTCGATATCGCATGCGGTAGGTAGACCCCTGTTCCTTCTTGCAAATAAAACAATTTCTTGTTCATTTTCGATTTTATATTTTCATTTTTTTATTTTATTTTAATTAAATTTGTAAATTAGTATTTATGTGTATGTCTTCTTCATATAATTTGTATGTAGGTATATCAGTTTATAAATAATTTATTATTTACACAAGAAAAGAAACACAAAATTAAGTTACAAAAATATTGCTGTTCTGGGATTCAGTTATGTTTTTTGTTTTGTTTTCAAAACTAAACAAATACAAAATAATATTACAATATAAAAATATAATGAAATGCTGTTCTAAAAAAAACTTGACTTAAATGGTATAACATAAATAAAATGATGCCAATAGTTTAATATGTGATTTTGTTTTTGTATACGAAGGGAAAAAAATTCATGCGAGTAGAGTATAATAATAGGTGATATTGAAATGAACAATTGTTTGTTGTTTTTTGGAAATAATATTTAAAAAAGATGCCGGTAATGGCACACTTATATAAGTTTTGGGAGGGTTTTTTTTTCAAAATAATTTTTTATGAATAAATCGATTTAGCTTAAATCAGCAAAAGACCGAGGTCTTTTGGAGGCAGTATAAATTAAACCAAGTTATTCATAATTAGAAAAAAACAAAACATTTTTTTTTAAATTTTGAAGTGTGAAATGCCAAGAAGCTTTGAGAAGGCCTAGCCAAGCGTTTGTGTTTGGGTAATAGATTGTCTTGCTAATGCTTTATCCGAAAGCTTTATAATTTACAAAGCAAAAGATTTCAAACATTAACACATTTTGCACTCAAAAAGCTTTTGCAATAACTTTCCTCTAAGAAAAAAAAAACTTATTAACTAATTCGTTTATTTTGTTTAAATTATAGAAAAAAATTCTATTGACTTTAGCATTTTTTTGGGGTAATTGTTGTTGTTCTTGCGTTTGCCATCTTTTTTTGGATAGTGGGACAGTGATAGTGTTTTTTTGCTTCTTAAAAATTACAAAAATAAAAACCTAACAATAAAAATTAAACTTAAAAATTATATAATTATATTTCGTTGTTTTTGTTGTTGTTTTTTTTTTTGTTTGTTCTGCATTTAATGTATTCTTAGTTTGTGAATATTGCATCCCGTTTGTAATATGTTTTGTTGTTGGTTTTGTTTTTATTGTTCTACATTGATGGTTATTATCATAGCTGGTCAATAATGTCCTCCACTGTGTCGATGATGGTCCCGCCTACCCGCCGAATGATCACGATATTCACCATTGCGTGAAGAACCGTTTTTGTGGTGATGATGATGGTGACGTTTCTTTTCTAAGTGAAAGGGGGAAATGAAAAGTCTTTATTAGCTTGAAAGCCCGAATGAAAAAATTTCAGATTTTACAAAATATTCGCAAAATAATGCCACTCCTCAACTCGCCACGAATTTCACATTACCTTTTAGACAGACATCGGAGACGACCATTTCGGAATTATCACGCATGCCATAGTTGTCACGACCAACACTGAAAGGGAGAAAAATTTTACAAATTTGGGATTAAGTGACCACTTTTGCTATTTGTTTTCCGAATTTCAATTTACCGATCCAAATTATCTCTAGACCTTTGCATATTATCCCTTAGATTATCCCTAGATCTGGTCATGGCTGGTGGATCCAAAGTCTCTTTGCGGCGCAAGGCATTGTGTGAACTATTCTTGGAGGCAGACTCGTGGAGGTTTTCCCAGGCTTGACGGTAGTATCTATAAAAAAATAGGAGGAAACATAAATAAATAAAATTAGAAAATGTATTTTAGAAGATTCTGAAAACGAAATCTAGCAATTTTGCATTCTTAAATCTATATCAAGTAAAAATCAGTAAGGAAAAGTCAAAATTTGGGCGGAGCCGACTATATGATACCTTACCACACTCTGCATATTTAGTAGAGCTTCCGTGACAAAAGAATTTATTTGAAGTGGAGCATACCACCTATCAACATTTGGGTTTAGAGCAGTTATAGTTTGATTTCAGAGGGTACTAATATATGGGAGGCTTATCCAATTCTGAATCGATTTTCACAAAATTTGACGGTGACATTTTTTTACCAATTTCTATAGAGTGCATGATCGGATGAAACTTATATATGGGAGCTAAGGCTATATATGAATCGATTTTCACCAAAATTTGAAGCACTTGCTTCTAGACTGAATTCGGTCGGATATGCCACAATTCCGGTAATTTGGTGTGATATTGGCTATTTGGAGCACAATTAACCCGAAATCTATTGAGGGTATGGGAGCTATGTCCAAATTTTAGCTGATCTGGATGAAATTTGGCAAAGGTATTTCCGAGCTCTATAGGATATCTGGTACCAAATATTATTGTTGTAGATCGCATATTACGAATGTGAGGGACATAAACCACAAATTGGATGAAACCTACATATGGGAGCTACAATTACATCTGAACCGATTTTTACCAAATTTAAACCACTTGTTTCTAGGATGAATTCCGTCGGAAGTGCGAAAATTCAGGTCATTTGGTGTGAAATTGGCTATTTGGCGTACAATTAACCCGAAATCGATAGAGGATATGGGAGCTATGTCCAAATTTTAGCCGATCTGAATGAAATTTGGCAAAGGTATTTCCGACCTCTATAAGATACCTTGTATTAAATATCATTGTTGTCAAATACATATTGCGCATGTGAGAGACTTTAATAATAAATCGGATGAAACATATATATGGGAGCAATAGCCATATCTGAACCGATTTTCTCCAAAATTTGAAGCGCTTGCTTTTAGGATGAATTGGGTCGGAAGTGTCTAAATTAAGTCCATATGAGATGATATTGGCCATTTGGTGCACAAAACAACCTGAAATCGGATAAAGGTGTATATGGGAGCTATATCTAAATTTGAACCGATTCTCACCAATTTCAAATAGGGTTCGTCCTTGGACCCAACAAATATAGTTTGGAAAATGTTCATCTTAATCGGATAATAAATGCGACCTGCATTTTATTCACAAAAATTTCTCAAAGAAGAAAAAATCTCCGCATAAATGTTGAAGAATTTTCATTAACGTCGAGGAAATTTTGTCAGCTAGCCTAAAAATTGTCTTCAAGAGTGAAACTATAGCTGGAATAGTTCCCATAGAGAGGACATTTATCAACCGGTGGGGGAGCTTCATATCTGAGATCCTCTGACAAAAGATGTCTCAGCAACTGATGGTGTCAAATGTACAATTTAACTGCACGTGAACGAGGATTTTGCGATGTATGGATGTCGAAGCTTTGAGTCACGAACCGATGAAGGTTAAAGATGGAAATAAGAATATGAAAAGTTTAAACGTAGCTTCAACTATGAACATTGCTGTGTTTTATAATTATGCCCAGTTATTAGAGAAAGCAAAGCGATGAATGTCAGAACTACGAGCAACTAACATCAAACTTGATGTAGCCTGAAGGTTGCTGTCGATGCCAATGTTGACCTTAAAGAAAGATTAATGTTTTTGAACTTCCAGGTTGAACGAGACTTAAAATTGAAGGATGATGTGAATGAATATAAATGTCGGTGTCCTACAAAATCAAATGATGGAGCTCAAGTTCGAATTGGTGGCTACTGAGGAAAGAGCCGAGTAAGTACTCAAACAAAGTACTCAATCAAACCACATCGTAAAGCCGCATGTAGGAGAAAATTAGACTATTTTCCGAGGGCTTGGATCATTTGGAGTAGGACTGTAGGGTAGCTGAAATAGAGCCTAATTAGTTCGCTGTGTAAATAGAAAATACCAGCAAAAACAAAAGAATATTTAAGAAGTAAAAAAACTGCTAAGTTTGAAGCCGAACTTTTTGCACCATCCACCATTCGGAAGGAACTTGAAAATTTTCCAAAAAATTTCGTTGAAAAATACCGCTCAAATGAAAACCTTAATATGGGGACTATACAAAGACGTGGTGCAGGATAAGTAATTTTTTGTCATAGGCTGTAGTAACGATTCCGAATTTCAAATACGAAATTTGAAGCAATTCCGGTGAATAATGTCGCCAGTATCATCAAAATATCGAATAAAGGGAGGTACCGTTGTATGAAGGTGAATAACACCGCGAAAATCCTGGAAATACCGAATATTTCGGGGTAGCGTTATATAGGTGCTATACTAAAACGTAGACCTATATAGACAAGACTCTACCAATGGGTAAAGCACTCAGAAGGAACTTCCGAGCTCTATAGAATATCTGGTACCAAATATTATTGTTGTAGAGCGCATATTACGAATGTGAGGGACTTAAACACCAAATCGGATGAAACCTACATATGGGAGCTATAACTACATCTGAACCGATTTTCAACAAATTTGAACCACTTGTTTCTAGGATGAATTCCGTCGGAAGTGCGAAAATTCAGGTCATTTGGAGGGATATTGGGCATTTGTTGCACAATTAACCTGAAATCTGTTGAAGATATGTATGGCAGTTATATCCTAATCTGAATCGATTTTGATAGAATTTTGTCAGAGGTATTTCTGGGCTGTATCTGATACCAAACATCATTCTTATGGTGTGCATATTACACTTGTGTGGATTTACAGACAAGTTCATTAAAAAATGTTGAAAAAATCATAAAAATACCAAATATCGGGAGGTACCATTTGGGGGATATATGATATTGTAGACCAATGTAGACAATTCTCTTACAGGGAGTTAGGTACCCAGACGGAACTCTTTGTGTAGATTTTCAGACAATTTCATTAAAAAAATTGACTAAAATTATCAAAATACCGAATATCGGGAGGTACAGTTGTAGGGGGGATATACGATATTGAAGACTTATATAGACAATTTTCCTGCAGGGAGTAAAGTACTCAGAAGGAACTCCTTGTGTGAAATTTCAGTCTATTCCATTGGAAAATATGGCCAAAATCAAGAAAATACCGAATATCGGGGGTGCTGTTATTTGGAGGATATACGATATTGTGGACCTCTCCAGCGAGTAAAGTACTCAAAAGGAACTCCTGGTGTGGAATTTCAGACAAATCCATTTAAAAATGTGGCTAAAATCATCAAAATACCAAATATCGGGAGGCACCGTTATATGGGGGTCATACGATATCGTGGACCGATATAGCCCATCTTCGAACTTGACCTGGCTGCACAAAAGACTGATGTGTGTAAATTTTTAGCTTCCTATCTTAATTTAGGTCTCAAATTATTATTTCGAGGAGATACAAATGGAACGACGACCTAAATATACCCTCCATCTTATGTATTGTGGAGGATATAAAATAGGCCTTAAATAAAAAGTTGTAAGAAATTCACTCCACTTCGAATTTTCTGGGCCACCCTGTATTTAAAGAGAATTCTCCCTTAGTTGGTCTGTAACTTTTTCACTGGAACTGAAATTTTCATAATTTGAGATAATTTCAAAAATACAGCTTACCTGTTGAGACCATTACGGGAACCAGATGTAGAACTATCGAACGAAGCAACGGTATTACAATCGGGTGAAGCTCTGTGGCGATAATGTTGAGTGGTGCGATTTCTGTAATGAGATGAATGAGAGAAAATCCAAAGAAAGGGAGATAATTAAAATGAGTTCAAAATATAAGAGAGTATAATAAGAGACAACAAATTAGAGGTTAGCTACAGACAGAGAGTGTAAAAAAAGGTATGGAGAAAAAATCTACACACTACTGGGTGATTGTAAAAACCAAAAAAAAAATCAAATAAAAAGGATACATAATAAAAAGAGATAAATGAAGAAAGAGAGTGAGAGGAGATAGAGTTAGCAGAAGAGAACCTAAAATAAAATATGGAGTTATTCACATAATAAGAAGACGTGCAAAACCCTCAAACCGCCCCACCATGGAGACCATGCTTCTTCATACGCCCCCTGATGTGCTCAAAACCAAAAAAAAAAAAAAATAAAAAATTATTAAAACAGAGACGTGCAACAGCAACAGGCGGCATTTTGCAAACCAAATTCTGAATGAAATGTTGTTGTTGTATGAAATGACATGAAGTTGTTTGTTGTTGTTTTTTTGATTTGGATTAATTGTAAGTTTTTTTTTGTCTGGAATTGTTTGTTGGGTTATCACATTGATTGTTTAGAGAGTAAGAGAGTGTGTGTGGTTTGTTTTTGTAGAGTAAAATAAAACGAAACGAAAAATTATCGCCAAATGTAAAATAGCGAGAACAAAAATGCGGCTTACTTGTTGGAGCTTAACAGTAAATTTGGGAGACTTTTCGAATTTGCTTTGGAAATTTCACTTGTTTTTCTTGTTGTTGTATTTTTAGTATTTTTTTTTGGTATGAATTATGGCCTTGAAATTGTACGTTTCAATTCGTGTGTTTTTTTTAGTTTCTTTTTTGGTTTCGTATGGTTAATATTTTGAAATGCTATTCTCTGATCTTTGGCACTGTGTAGCGGGATATTCCTTCCCCCGTACGTCCCCCTCTCTAATAGAGGTCACTATCCATAATGTGTTTATTACTCGTCGTACTCATACTCTCACACGCATCCTTCATATCCCTTTGATTTTTGGCATTTTGTTTTTCGTCCTGCTGACGTTGTTGCTGTTCACTGCTGAAAATGCCCGCCCTTGTGGCATAGCTACGACCACATGTGCTCAATTCACGCCTTCCCCATTTCTGATCATCGAATGGCAGTGCAAGAATGCCCGTGCTCCATATCGAGGGCAATGGTTCCTTTTTGATGCTCGAACTAACGCTATAATGATCGTATAGCCTTTGGGGCCGAATGCTATCCATGTTGCCACCAATGCCCAAATACGATTTTTGGGGATCAAAGGTCGAAGCATTGAACTGGGTGGTGGCCGTCGTCATCATGGTCATGGGTGGTGGCATGTAGCGTAGACGTGATTTGGGAATGTAGTATGGTGGTAATGACGATGGTGGTGGTGGTGGATATGAGAAATGTTTTGCATTGTGCCGCCGTTTGCTGTTCGAGGTGCTACACGGAGAGAGAGAACATAGAGAGAGAGAGAGAAAGAAAAAAGAGGGGAAGCACAGGAAATCAAATACAACAATTCTTCGATGTATGTATGTGTTTTCGTTTAAAGATTGGTGTTCGCGAGAAAGAGAGAAAAATACAATTGTGGGTGAACTTGATTTTGAAGGTGGTACTCCTAGTTTCGTGAGAAGAAAACTTGGAATGGTGTGACCAAACAAAAATTGATCTAAGGGAACTTTTCACACAAGTATGAAATAATAATTTTAGAATATAAAATGTCAAAATCTACCAATTGAAGGCATGTGAATAAAAAAATGTTTTCAAAAAAAAAAAAAAAAAAAAAAAATATTGGCATAGAGAGTCGTGCTGATAACAAAAATTTCAGAATATCGAAAAATCGAATATAAATAAATTAATCCTAGGCTTTTCGATTTGAAATTTCAAAAATATTTTTTTAAAGTTAGAAAAATTTTTTTTCTAATGGAAAAAATTTAGAAACTTATTTCCTCCGTTCCATAACCTACAAGAATATTCCAGTTTTTTTTTCTCGATTTTTCCGATAGAAGTTATAAGAATAGAAAAAATTGGATTATATTTTCATAGAAATAAATATTTGGACACAATTTTTGGGACAGGAAATGTTCAAATAGAAAATAGGTTCGGAATTTTCTTTTCAAGCAAAAAATAATATTTTCGTCCCAATACATAAAATTTGGAATTCTGCTTTAAAAAGAATCAAATTCTTAACATTATTTTCAAATAGAAAAATTATCTCAAGCAATCAAATATAAAACAAAAATTAGATAGAATTTTCGAACATAAATTCCGAAAAAAAACTTCGAATTAAAAAAGTTCGAAACAATTTTTTTCCGAAAGGAAAAAATTTGAAAACATATTTTTTTCGGATAGAAAAAAATTTGAAATCAAAAATTTCATTTTCACACCAGATCTTGTCTTAATAAAAATATTGGGTCGAGTAAAATTTTATAAGCGTTTTAGTTATTCTAAGTTTTGAGTTTGAAGTGGACCATCTTCAGGCCACAATATGTGTTAATAAAAATATTGGAATGTGGGATATTATAAGACAATCGGACTCTTATTTCGCATTTTATGAGAGATATAATTATTCAAAAATTTGTCCCTTTGTGGGAGAGGTTACAGAAGTAGTAGTCCTATTTCACAAGATTTTGTTTTAGTGGAAATATTGGGATGTGTGAAATTTTACAAGAAATTGGTTATTCAAAGTTATGACCAAATGTGGGGGGGGGGGGACCAGAAGCAGTGGTCCGATATCTACCATCTTCACACTAGATTTTTCTTTAGTGGAAATATTAGGATATGTGAAATTTGAAGAGAATTGGATGCTTGATTTGTATTTTATGGTCGTTTGGGTTATTCAAAATTTTAACCCTTTGTGGGGGAGGTACCTGATGGAGTCGACTAATATCTACCATATTTCCAACAAATTTTGTATTGATAGAAATATTGAGATATGCCGAAGTTAAAAGGAATCACATGCTTATTTCCCGTTTATTGAGCTTCGTGGATATTCAAAATTTGACCCTTTGTGGGAGGAGGTACCAGAAGGAGTGGTCCGATATATCTCATCTTCGCTGCAGATCTTGTATTAGTAGAAATAATGGAATGTGTGAAATATGAAGAGAACCGGATGCTTATTTTGGATTCTACAATCGTTTTGGTTATTCAAGACGTTGACCATTTGTGGGGGAGGTACCAGAAGGAATGGAGCGATATATCCCATATCCAAACTAGGTCTTGTGTTTATAAAAATATTTGGATGTGTGAAATTTGAAGATAATCTGATGCTTATTTCGCTTTTTATGAGAGATATAATTATTCAAAAATTTGACCCTTTGTGGGAGAGGTACCAGAAAAAGTGGTCCTACATATACCATCTTGGCATGAGATATAGTATTGCTAGAAATATGGTATAAGAGTTATAATTACTCCAAATGTTGACCCTTTGTGGGGTAGGTACTTGATTTGGCAACTGACCTAGCACTGAAAAAATTATTGGGGCTTACAGAAATTGCACAAAATCGAATGATTCCTTCTATTTCTTTGAGGTAAATTAGTTTTCTGTGAACATTTTGACCTTTTGTGAGGGGAGGTAAGAGAAGCAGTAGACCGATATTGCCCATCTCCGAACTCATTCTAAGTTTGATAAGAATATTACGAAATACCAAGTTTGGACAAAAACGGATACTTCCTTCAAGAGTTATCGTGCACACCAGGCAGCCAGACGGATGGATTGACGGACGGACACCCCTAGATCGACTCCAAATGTCTTGAAATGGATAAACAGATCTAGGGTGTTAAAGCGATTTTTGAATGAGACACGTTTTGGTCGATATAAACCCTCTCTGTAGCCATATGGTAGGGGGTATTAAAATTGGGAAAGGGAAGATGTGTTACACTATTTCAATTAATTTTGAAACATTGAAAGTAAAATGTAGGAATAGTGCTCTAATAGAGCAAATTTTATATAAGTCGTACCCCTGCTGGACGTTCTCCGCAAAAAACCTAAAAAATATATTCTAATCAACCGGAAATTTTAGGGGTGAAGCTCTCCTTATTATTTCAAAATATTAAGTTCGGTTAAAAAGCGGTCGAATTCCAAGGATCCAACTACTTTGGGGTTCCGATTACATATATATTTGTTAGGAACCTCATTACAGCTCCATGGATTTCCCAGACCTAGGGGCTGAGAGGCTTAAACCTTTGTTAGGTACCTCTTTTCTAAGAGAGGGAGATCCATCCCCACGGATTTCCCAGAATGAGAGACTGAGAGGCTTTAATCTGTACCCCTGGCTAGGAAAAGTGAAAATAATGACCTCCATACCCCAACATAAATTTTATGAGGCCTCGTTTCAGAAGCTACCAATATATAAAAATGAACAAACAACATTAACAAAATACGAACGCAAAAATGCAAGGCAGGCAGTTCTTTAGGAGAGAGAAAAATAAGACGAAAACAAAAAACAACCGGCAAAGCATTTGGTAAAATGTGAGTGCGAAAAAAGCTAAGCATAAATAAACTTAAAGCTAGCGAAAACAGTCGGAAAGTTACCCTCTAACCTCTACCATTTCAACTTACCTTCTGACCAATATGACGATGGTGGTGATGACAGCAGCCAAAAAGACAAAACCACCGAAAGCACCCAAAGCCACAATGGCGCCCAAATTGAGTTTGGCTTCCTTGGTCTCTTTGTGATTGGTATTTTCGACGGAGAAGGGCACGTTGACATTGGGCGATTGATTGTGGCGAATATTGACACTGTCGGCAATTTCATTATCCTGAGGATGGGCATTTTGGATGACATTTTGAATGTTGCGGGTGGTGGTCTCGGTGGCTGGTGTGGATGATGGGGCACGAGTACGCGTTGGAGGACTGTAGTAGGTGGGTGGTCTTGAGGTACTCGAGGCTGTGGTGGGTCTACTGGGTGTTTCATAGGCCGGTGTGGTCTTGGGTTTGTTGGGTGTGAGCACGGGGCGCACTGTGCGGCGTGGTGGGAATTCTTCGCGTACCGTGCCGGGCACCACATAGGTGACATCTTCATCGGAATCGGCTGGAGGGGGAGAAATGGGGAAAATTGTATTAAATTAAGAGGTCTATATTTTTTTGGATAGACTTACTTTCTCCATTGATTTCCACTTGGGGACTGGTGGGATATGCCGTACTGCTGCTGCTGCTGGTTGTGGTGGTGGCTGTGGGCCTATAGGTCTTCTTGGTAGTGGTACTGCTAATCTTGGGCCGGTAGGAAGTGGTGGAAGGCACTGTGGGTGCTGCTGTGCTAGGTGGTGGTGGAGGTGGCAATGTGGTAGAGGGTTCCACTTTAATACAACGTGGCAGGGCACTGCTCCATTGACCCGAAGACAAACAGGTAAGAGTACTGGGTCCCTCCAAACGATGGCCAGGTGGACAGGTAATTTCAGCCTTAGAGCCGTAATAAGAACCGTTGGGCGCCGAAATAATGGTGTTGTAGTAGTTGCCGGGTAGGGTATCGCATTCAACAACTGGAGAGAGAGAAAAGAGAGAGGAGAGAATTTAGTTACATTTATCGACTCAAAATTCTGAAATGGAAACCTACTTTCACATCTTGGTGGGGGACCGTTCCAGCGTTCATCAAAGTCACAGGTGAGCAGGGCCCGACCCACCATTTCATAGCCTTCATCGCAGCGATATTTAACCAGGCTCAGATAACCAACTGTGCCATTCAGTAGATCATAGCCACCATGAGGTATGGAGGCAGGCAAGCCACATTCAATATCTGCAAATAAACAAAGTTTTGAGTCAAAATTGTCCCACAAAAATAAATTAGCAACCATTTTCCACTTACATTTACACACCGGTGGGAATTCATTGTAGAAACCCGTCTCCAAACACGTCCTGGTCGATGGACCAACCAGCAAATGATTAGCATCACAGGTATATTTAATTTGGGCGCCAACTTCATAACCATTCAAGGCAATCATTGTCGAATTGGGTGGTTGTTCCGGTCGGCCACAAGTCTTGGGCTGATGTTGACAGATGAAATTCAAATGCGTATTACAATTGGTGTCACTCCACAACCATCCCTTGGAGCCATCAAATCTAGCACAATCCTCATCACCGCCAGGATGATTCCAGAAGGACACAGCCACCTCTTCACCATTAACCCATTTCCAGGTAGAACGATCGACAGCATCACGCACAGCACCCATCCAATATTGAGAGCTCACATCACTACGATGTCTACGCCATAATTCCCAGCTAATGAAACCCTGGAGGGCGGGGTTACTTTCGCTAATCAAAGTACCACCCCGTGAACGGCAGAAAGCCAGAGAATCCAAAAAGTTCAACGGTTGACGATTATAGAAAATATAACATTTGCCATTGTAGGAAGCCAAAGCGCCTGGGGGCTGATCACGGAACGTGGGGCAACGTTCAATGGGCAAAGCTTGATCAGTGTAAACGAATGCCTCACAAATGGACAGCTGATTGGGCGTCTTATTCTCCAAATGTACCGAAACGAAGGCACCCGGCATGGGAGGATTACAGGGCAGGAAGAGAGGTTGTCCCTCCTCCAGCAGACCCGTGAAACGATTGCAAATTGGATTGGTACCCAAGTCGGGACGATTGTTGCCAACGCGAACCACAATGGTGGCGGGTTTGTTGCCTGCAAAACAAAAAAGGAGAGAAGAGATAAATGTTAAAGATAGTTTTTATTTTTAATGAGAGAAAGAAAAGAGGTAAACAGTTTCCAGTTTTAAATACGCATGTTCGTGTGGGAGAGTCGTGATGAGAGAATGATAAAAATCGTTACAGGAGAGCTTTATCAGTAATAGATCTCAATGTCAAAGGGAGACAGCTGACTCATATCAAGAAATGTATGTCACTCGAAGCTGGAAGAGAATCAGTCAAAATTTACAAACTGAACTCATCTATGCGAAAAAAATGTCTCCAAATTTTTTTTCTATTCGATAAAAATGTCTCCAACATTTTTTCTATACCCAAATAATGTCTCCAAATTTTTTCTATACCCAAAATTGTCTCCAAAAAATGATTCCAAAAATTTTTTCTACGCTCAAAAAATGTATCCAAAATTTTTTCTATGCGAAAAAAATTTTTCCAAAACTTTTGCTATGCGAAAAAAGAAAAGAAAATTTCTCCAAATGTTTTTTATGTAAAAATGTCTTTAAAATAATGTATGTGCCAAAAAGGTCTCCAAAAAATGTAGATTCAAAATATGTCTCCAAAATTGTTTCCGTTCGAAAAATCCTTTTACGCCAAAAATATCTCCATTTTTTTTTAAGAAAAAAACGTTTTGTTTTTCTATGCTAAATAAACGTATCCAACATTTTTTTCTGTGCAAAAAGTGTCTCCAACATTTTTTTCTGTGCGAAAAATGTCTCCAACATTTTTTTTTGCGAAACGAATGTCTCCAACATTTTTTCTGTGCGAAACGAATGTCTCCAACATTTTTTTTGTGCGAAACGATTGTCTCCAACATTTTTTCTGTGCGAAACAAATGTCTCCAACATTTTTTTCTATGCGAAACAAATGTCTCCAATATTTTTTTCTATGCGAAACAAATGTCTTCGACTTTTTTTCTATGCGAAACAAATGTCTCCAACATTTTTTCTATGCGAAACAAATGTCTCCAACATTTTTTCTAGGCGAAACAAATATCTTCCACATTTTTTTCTAGGCGAAACCAATGTCTCCAATTTTTTTCTATCTGAAAAAATATCTCCAATTTTTTCTATCCAAAACAAATGTTTCCAACACTTTTTTATGCGAAACAAATGTCTCCAACATGCGAAAGAAAGTCTCCAATAATTTTTCTATGAGAAATAAATGTCTCCAAAATTTTTTTCTATGGTAAAACAAATGTCTCCAACAGTTTTTTTATACGAAATAAATGTCTCCTACATTTTTTCTATGGGGAAACAAATGTCTCCTACATTTTTTCTATGGGGACACAAATGTCTCCAACATTTTTTCTAGGCGAAACAAATGTCTCCCACATTTTTTCTATGCGAAACAAATGTCTCCCACATTTTTTCTATGCGAAACAAATGTCTCCCACATTTTTTCTATGCGAAACAAATGTCTCCCACATTTTTTCTATGCGAAACAAATGTCTCCCACATTTTTTTCTATTCGAAGACAAATTCTCCAACAGTTTTCCTATGCGAAAAAAAAAATTTTCTATAAAAATTTTTCTATGCGAAAAAAGTCCCCAACTGTTTTTCTATGCGAATGAAATGAATCTATTTTTTTCTATGGGAAAAAAATATTCAATTTGTTTTTGTAGAAAAAAAGTCTCCAAAATTTTTTCAAAAAAATTTGAATTTTTTCCTGTGCGCAAAATGTCTCCAACTTTTTTGTATACTAAAAAGTTTCCAAAAAATTGGAAAGTACCTACTCTCCAATTTTTTTCCTATGCAAAAAAGTTTCCAAATTTTGTTCCTACGCGAAAATCCGTGTCTCCAATTTTTTTCAAAAGATTTTGAATTTTTTCCTGTGCGAAAAATGTCTTAAATTTTTTTGAATACTAAAAACTTTCCAAAAAATTGGAAACTACCAAAAACGTCTGCAAATTTTTTCCCATACAAAAAAGTTTTCAATTTTTTTTTTTTCGAAAAAATGTCTCCAAATGTTTTTTTTTTGGGAAAAAATGCCTTCAATTTTTTATGAGAAAAATGTCTCCAGTTTTTTTTTTCGAAAAAAATGTTGATTTTTTTCCTATACTAAAAAAGTCTCCAAAATATTCAAAACTTTCTTTAAGTTTTTCTCTATGCGAAAAAGATTTCGCCAAAGTTTTTTCTATTCGAAAACAAATTCTCCAATAGTTTTTCTATTTGAATACAAATTCTATAACAGTTTTTCTGTGCGAAAAAAATTTCTCCAATAGTTTTTCTAGGAGAAAAAAATTACTCAATATTTTTCTAGGGATTTTTTCAAAAAAAAAAAAAAAAATTAAATTTTTTCCTATCCGAAAAATGTCTCCAATTTTTGTTGTATCATAAAAAGTTTCCAAAAATTTGGAAACTACCAAAAACGTCTCCAAATTTTTTCCTATACCAAAAAGTCTCCACATTTTTCCTACACGAAAAAATGTTCCCAAAATGTTTTCTATGCCACCAAATTCTATCAGAAAAATGTCTCCAGTTTTTTTTTTTGGAAAACATGTTGAATTTTTTCCTATGCGAAACATGTCTCCATTATTTTTGTATACTAAAAAATCTCCAATTTTTTTCCTATACCAAAAAAGTCTCCAAATGTTTTTCTATGCGCAAAAAATGTCTATAAATACGACCTTTGCCTCGTCTATAAAAATGACCTTTGGATTTATGGACGAGCCTCTTTATGCTAGTCTATAAAGACAGGCTTTGTCTCGTCCATAAAGTCCTCTTTATGCTAACCTATAAAGACAGACCTCGGCTCGTCTATAAAGACAACCTTCGGTTCATCTATGAAGACAGCCTTCGTCAAGGCAGCCTTCGGCTCATGTATAAAGACTGCCTTCGGCTCGTTTACAAAGACGACCTTTAGCTCGTCTATAAAGACAGCTTTTAGCTCTCCTATAAAGATATCTTGTTTATAAAGAATTTATTTTCTATATAGGAACATGTTCCGCAACCAAAAAAAATCCGAATTGTTTTGTTTGGTTATTTGGTCAAAAGAAGCTCTCGTGGTCATAATTTTAGAAATTACCCATTAATGGATATTAGGCAACGATAATAAGATAAAAGTCCATTCAAAAATAACTCTCTCAAAGTGATTGCATTGATTGCACATCAACGCCAGCAGACAGAGGCACCGCCATCGTGGTCATCATCCCCCTCACCCCCCCTCCATCATCAACATTATTATGGCTTTGCATTGCGTCCGTCTCGTCATCATCATCCTCATAGGCCGTCCGTATTACAAAGTGTGGGTACTTTTCGGTTGGTCATTATCAAAACGACAAGCGACTTTACAAGTTTGACTGCCATGGCGCATTGCATCAAAGCACCTCCCGTGAGCGGCTGGAGAGGAGTGTGAGAAGAGTACCCGTTTCAGTGAAAGTAATCATAAATTGTGCGCCAGAGGTTGGCTCGGTGTTTGGCTGCGCAAAAAAAGAAAGAAAAAAATCAGGTATTTTTTCCCAGCAACAAAAAGAAGAAAAACAAAGCCATGATGAGTTCAGATGCGGCGGCAACCACATTCACCGTCAATGAATTACTTGGTGGCTGGATGGTTGTTTGATGTTGGGCAAACATCATTACTTTTGGGTCCTCTGTGTTTTTGTTGGTTTTTGGGGAAGGTATAGAAGTGTGGTTGTTGTTTTCTTTGTGGAAGTATGTGTGACTTTGCTGTTTTGCTTTTTTTTTTGTGGAGCTAAACAACAAAACTCACATAACACTTTATTAAGACCAGCCGAAGTGAAAGCATGTGAGCCAAAAACCAAAAGCTTTGGAGGTAACATAGCAGAGATGTTGGGTATTTGGTGGCTTTGATTGTTTTGCCATTTTTCCTACCAGACCCAAAAGACTGGCGCTGGACCTATTCATTTCAAAACTCAGCCATAGAAGGGGAGCAAAAGGATTATGTATTTTTTTTCTTAGGAAAAAAAAAGAGTAACAGGTTTGAAAATTGTCTATTAACTTCTTTCCTCTCCCACTCTCCTTCCCCCTCCCTCTCTCCACTTATTTTTCTAAAGTCACCCACTGACGCAACGCAACTACTGTTAACTAACATGGCCCGAAGACGACAGTTAGAGTTATTTATTGGCTGGCTTGTTCGTTGGCTGCTTGTCTACCATTCCACAGCCAACGGCAGGTTATTGATCTCCTCTACACACACACACACACACGGACGTACTTAATAACTTATACACATATCCACAATTTACTGCTACTTACCACAGCACGATTTGCCAAAGTCCAAACGCACCAGCTGCACCATATAGGGTTCCAATAGATTTACATACCACCATGGCGAACGTTCGGCTTTGGTCAGTGAACAGGTCTCGGGTGTGAAAAAGGCCGAGGTGGAGCCATCGATGGCTTTTTGTGGAGCACCGGAACCTTCGGTGGAAATTTGCATGGGTGCCTTGCCGGCGGCCACATTCAGTACTGGAAATAGAAAAAAAAAAAAAAACAAAAAAAAAAAAAATAATAAAAAAATTCAACAATAAAATAATAATAATAAAAAAATAGAAAATTTGGCTAATATCCAATAATTATTTAATTAATATAATGGCTTAAAAAAAATTAAATAAAATATTTTGATAAATTGAATGTTAGCCACGGATCATTTGGAAGTGGTAAAATTATTATCCATTTTTTTTTAAATTTAAAATACTTTATCCGGCTCATTTGTATAAGGAAATATTTTTATTTGCATCATTTGGATAAAATTTAAAACTTTATAAGCCCCATTTGAATAATGTTAATATTTTTTTTAAAGAGCATATTCTTATATTTTTAAATTTTATAATAACTTTAAACTTAACTTAACTTTAAATCCCCATCATTTTAGACAAGGAAAATATTTTCGGAATTACAAAATTTTTTGGATTTTTTTATGGAATGTATTGGATATACAAATATCATTTGTTCAGAGACTCACAAAGAAATTTGATTTAGAATAATTCTTCCTTTGACACTTTTCCGAAAAAATGAAGTAGAAAGGGAGATTTTGACTCGGATTGGATACGTGTTAAATTAACACTAAAAAAGGAAAGACATAATTTTCACTTATATTACATAAATTTCGAATGTAATTTTCATAGAAACTATTATACCTAGAAATATGGTTTATTCTGAGATTTATGGTGAAATTTTGTGTAGAATATTTCATCCTTTGACACCATTTGACGAAAATGAAATTTTATGTTACTTTCAGGCGTCAACTTGGAAAAAGTCCGAAAAAGTCGATCAAAAAATTGGGGCATTTTTTTTTTTTTTGGAACATTTATGCATTTTTTTCTGGTACGCAATGGAATTAGAGATTTCTTTTCTTTGGTGACTTATAGTGAAATTTAATAGTAACTATTTTTGTCTCTGACGTCATTCTTCTAAAATGAAGCTTTTTTGGAGATTTTTGCTTATATTCACATAAAGTATGGCTGTAATCCCAATTTTTTTAAAATTTATATCAAGGTTTTTCTTAGCAACAATTGACGATATTTTTTCATGGTATATATTGAAAATACAAATTTCTTGTGTTCGTAGACTCACAATAAAATTTGATCTAGAACAATTCTTACTTATACACTTTCCCCAAAAAATGAAGTCAAAAGGGAGATTTTGACTCGGATTGGAAACGTGTTAAATTAACACTAAAAAAAGGAAAGGCATAATTTTCATTTTTATTACATAAATTTCGAATGTAATTTTCATAGAAACTATTATACCTAGAAATATGGTTTGTTCTGAGATTTATGGTGAAATTTTGTGTAGAATATTTCATCCTTTAATACATTTTGCGGAAAATGAAATTTTATATTACTTTCAGGCGTCAATTCAAAAAAAAGTCTGAGGAAAAATCGATCAAAAAATTGGGGCATATATATTTTTTTTGGAACATTTATGCAATTTTTTTTTTGGTACGCAATGGAATTAGATATTTCTTTTGTTTGGTGACTTCTGGTGAAACTTGATAATGAATATTTTTGTCTCTGACGTCATTCTTCTAAAATGATGCTTTGTTTGAGATTTTGGCTTATATTCACATAAAGTACGGCTGTAATCCCAAATTTTTTAAAATTTATATCAGGATTTTCTTAGCAACAATTGACGATATTTTTTCATGGTATATATTGGAAATACAAATTTCGTGTGTTCGGAAACTCACAATGAAATTTGATCTAGAATAATTCTTCCTTTTACACTTTTCCCAAAAAATGAAGTAAAAAGGGAGATTTTGAATTGGATTTTAAATGTGTTAGATTAACCATACGAAAAAACAAATACATAATTTTCACTTTTAGTGCATAAATTTAGAATATAATTTTCCAAAAAACTATTGCCTAGATATATGGTTTATTCTGAGATTTTTAGTGAAATTTTGTGTAGAATATTTCGTGCTTTGACACATTTAGCCGAAAATGAAATTTTATGTTACTTTCAGGCACCAACTCGAAAAAAGTCCAAGGAAAAATTTCATCAAAAAATTGGGGCATATTTTTTTTTTTTTTTTTTTGGAACATTTATGCATTTATTTTGGTACGCAATGGAATTAGAGATTTCTTTTCTTTGGTGACTTATAGTGAAATTTGATAATAACTATTTTTGTCTCTGACGTCATTCTTCTAAAATGATGCTTTTTTGGAGATTTTTGCTAATATTCACATAAAGTACGGCTGTAATGCCAAATTTTTTAAAATTTATATCAGATTTTTCTTAGCAACAATTGACGAGATTTTTGTATGGTATATATTGAAAATACAAATTTTTTGTGTTCGGAGACTCACAACGAAAATTGATCCAGAACAATTCTTACTTCCACACTTTCCCAAAAAATGAAGTAAAAAGGGAGATTTAGACTTGGATTGGAAATGTGTTAAATTAATACTAAAAAATCAAACTCATAATTTTCACTTTTAGTGCATAAATTTAGAATTTAATTTTCCAAAAAACTATTGCACCTAGACATATGGTTTATTCTGAGATTTATAGTGAAATTTTGTGTAGAATATTTCTTCTCTTGACAACTTCCATCTAAAATGAAATTTTATATTACTTACAGGCGTCAACTCGAAAAAAGTCCAAGGAAAAATTGATCAAAAATGTGGACATATTTTCGGGGTTTTTGGGAACATAAATGTAATTTTTTGATACACAATGAAATTAGAGATTTCCTTTTGTTTGGTGACTTATAGTGAAATTGAATGAAGAATATTTTTGTCATTGGCGTTGTCCTTCTAAAAGGATCCTTTGTTGGAGGTTTTTGCATATACTCACATAAAGTACGGCTATAAACCCAAAATTTTTAGAATTTAAATCAGGTTTTTGTTAACAAAAATTGACGATATTTTTTCATGGTATATATTGAAAATACAAATTTCTTGTGTTCGTAGACTCACAATAAAATTTGATCTAGAATAATTTTTACTTTGACAGTTTTCCCAAAAAATGAAGTAAAAAGGGAGATTTAGACTTGGATTGGAAACGTCTTGAATTAACACTAAACAAAGCAAAGACATAATTTATACTTTTACTACATAAATTTCGAATATAATTTTCCAAAAACTATTGCACCTAGATATATGGTTTATTCTGAGATTTTTAGTGAAATTTTGTGTAGAATATTTCCTTCTTTGACACATTTCGTCGGAAACGAAATTTTATGTTACTTTCGGAAGTCAACTCAAAAAAAGTCCGAGGAAACATTGATCATAAAAAATCAGAGAATATTTTTGATTTTTTTTTCGGATCATTTTTGCAAACAATTTTTTGATACGCAATGGAATTAGAGATTTCTTTTCTTTGGTGACTCATAGTGAAATTTGATGAAGAATATTTTTGTCTTTAATGTCGTACTTGTAAAATGATCCTTTGTTGGAGATTTTTGCATATACTCACATACAGTTAGGCTATAATCCCAAAATTTTTAGAAATTAAACCAGTATTTTATTTACAACAATTGACGATATTTTTTTATGGTATATATTGGAAATACAAATTTCTTGTGTTCGGAGACTCGCAACGAAATTTGATTTAAAATAATTCTTCCTTTGACACCTTTCGCAAAAAATTAAGTCTAAAGGGATATTCTTACCCATATTAGAAACGTCTTAAATTAACAGCAAAACAATTAAAAAAGTATCAGTAGGTTGTGCCGACAGATGTATACCCTCAGGCAATGTTCGATTATCTAAATATATTTGACTTCTTACATGATTATTCAAATTGCTGACCCTCTATGGAGTAAGTTCCGAAGTTGTGGGCCAACATTGTCCATTTCGTATCGGAACTAAATAAATATGATATAAAAATTGCCAAGTTCCAGGTTTAGACTATATCTACCACTTCTTTCACATCACTACATTAGATATGTGATTATTTTTAGAAAAGTGTTAAAATGTGCCTGAGGTACCAGATATAGTCCAGATCAGCAACTGAGATATTATCTCGGAAAGGAAACATTTTTGTTTCCCAGTGACTGAGTTACAATTTTTTTCCTTCAGAAAAAAATCCCTTTGTAACTGACGTCGATTTTTTTCAATAGATTTATATTTACATTTTTACTGTAGCCCCCCCCCCCCCCCCACCTTTCTTTACCCCGTTTGACTGTGGCAAAATCTGAATTGCACCCAAAATCTACGAATTGCAAATGCATGCAAAGTGTTCCATAAGAATTACAATTTATAATAACGAACTAAGGCACGCCATGGCCTGGCATGCCATGCCATCAATCCTCGCCACACTCTCTCACTTCTAGGCAGGCACTCACTCACATGCCTAGACACCGACGACAGCAGCCCAAGCATAATAAGAAGTTACACCATTTTTTGTAATTCTTTTTCTCTTTTTTGCAAATAATTTGCAATTTACTGGATATCCAACTACCTAGCCGACTTTCGTGCATTTTTATGTGGTTTCTATAGCTACTAAGATCAACAAACTTCACAAAAAAAAAAACTGGCTAAGAAATAGCCCAGATTTCTGCAAGTAGATAAACTAAATCGCCTCGTAAACATAATGAAAATGAAAGAAAGAGGAGGCAAAAAATCGCAGCTTAAGCTGGCCAAGATAATATCAGCAGCACCAGCAACAGGCATGCAGAAGAAAGTCTGTCCGGCCACCCCTTGGAGAAACTGTAACATAATCGTTGGAAGCTTCTATTACTACTTATTTTTTGTTTGCTTTTCTAAGCTTTGTTTTTCGTTCTATTCTCCATTCTCCACCTAAATGCCGGTGCGCTGATTATTTGCCCGGTTGCTGGAACTGGGAGTAACGCCACATGTGGTGGCAGTTAGAATTGGTTTATTATTCCCAGATAAGATAGAGAACCATGCCATTATTTTATTACCACCTTTTGTGGTTTTGAAGTTTGTTTTGTTGATGTTTTTGTTGTTGTCTTTTGTCTTCTTCTTATTATCGGTAGTTAAGGCAACAAGTGGTATTGT